ACAAATAAATTACCTTATCCGTAACCCTTATTGTTAACTGACCGAGTACTGATTCACCACTCTTTGACTATTTGAGATTTAGAGTAAAATACGAAAAGTACTAATATTTACATATAATTCTTTCATGTTTAAGAGATTACCAGTAAAATGTGAAAAGTACCAATATATCACTTGTTGATTTCTGGTGATTTACGGTAAAAACGTGAAAAAATACTGATATATCACTAGTCGATTTCTGTAGATTAACGGTAAAAACTTTAAAAGTATTATTGTAAGTTCAGAATGATATATATCACGCGCGTAGGTCGTAAAAACGTGAAAAGTCCTGAAGTATAGATTTCATGTTTCGTTATAATATGTGATATTATATTGTTTTAAAGTTGAAATGTTCTATTCGGTAACGCAATCTACATGTTTTTGTTATTTTCATTGTTATTGTTAAGATATATATATATATATATATATATTTTCAATTTGCAAAACATTTCAGTCAAGCCTTGATAGGTGAATTTTTTAATGATTTTAGAATCCTTAATTTCTAAATTCCCGATTATTAATCATATCAAGATATTGTACTTATCACTTTGTAAATACTTGGCATGAAACTACTGGTGATTTTTTAAGCACCAACAAATATTATAATTGAAATGTTATATTCAAATGTCAGATTCGCGATAACTGAAGACCTGCTTCCAAAGCATTTGAAATTTCATATCCATGCAATGAAGTTGATAAACTTCAAAGATAAGTAAGCTGTTACATGAGGCGTCGATAGTACAATACAACTTTTTTTATTTACGACTTTAAGACATCTTTGTTAAATCGGGATCTTTTCTGTAAAAGTGCGTATATCACAAGTTTATGAGAGCAGTCTGTCGACAATCAATTTATCTATATCAACCATTAAGTTTGGATTAGGAAAAACATGTTGGTAAGTAAATAAAACAATTATGATAAACTGGTTCGAATTCCGTTTAGTACTTGTGGGTGACAAAAAATGTTGAATTTTATTTAATTTAAACTTCTAAATTTTTACGTTTAACGATTTTTCTTCTTTTTTGTCATTTAATGAGTTTTAACAGCAGACAATTTCCTTATAAACCCAAATGTCGTATCGATCCTGCCTAGGTATTTGACAAATCTATATGTAGCTTTAGATTCATCTACTCTTTTACTTTAGTAGGCCGATTCATTTCCTTATAACTGCACAAGTTGTTTGAAATTTTTGTCACCGTTGACAATTCAATAATGTATCGTTGTTATCCGTCTGGCGCTAAATCTTATTGGTTAAAGATTTTGAAATAAAAGAGGTAGATAGACTGGATGCTTTATCTATTATTTGACCAAATTGAATTCCCTTTCATACAGTGAACGTCGTAGACGTAATCAGCAAGAAACAATCATTCAGTAAAACAGTTGTTTCTGTCATTTGAAATAAACATTTCAATGCTTCAGTGATCAATCCCATTGCAAACCAAACTAGAATTGGTAAATGATGATATTAATCAATTTCCTTATTCAGTGATCCATTGAAAATTTCCATTTTTGTTTGTTTCATATCGTAATAGTATCTTATTAGGAGTGATATTTATCGCAAACAGATTTAGAAAGTATGCGTTTTATCCCATTAACTTGACATGGATAATTCTGTGGTTGGTTTTTGTTACAACCTCCACTGAACAAATACAGTCATCATTTAATGACTATGCAAAGAAATTTTTTTTGACATTTTTACTCTGATTTATAAAGATAACATGTTAATGAATTAGCGCTAAGTGGACTCTGTTACCAATCCTCTCTGTATAGCCACAATCACACAAAATGGTCTGACAGCAACAGGGATGTGTCCATTGCCCGGTATGAACCGTTGCAGGTCTCCTGACATTGATAAGCTAGCTGATGATACCCTCGGTACCAGATTTTCAATTAAACCAGTATACAGGTAACGTAGCACCCTGGTTTAGCCTTGTTCGTTTAAAACTCTAAACATAATCAGAAATGTATAAAAAGGTTCTAAAACAGACTATTGATCAGGATATCAGGTAAGTGGAATTTAAGCGCCCCACGTTGACTGTGTTAAAAACGTCTACTTGTACGGCTACCCGATTTAGCAATTTTTATCATCATCTAACAGAAATTTAACTTGCATCGCCCAATTTGTAAAATTGAAGGAAAATAATTTTGACTGAATAAAAGAACTTAAAACATAATGTTATCTATAAATCAATACTGTATTTATTATATAATTAAAACTGGTTGTTTGTAAAGATGACTTTATTATGTGCCATAAATATTGATGTAACTCAATAAAGGCTAACTAACGATATCGTAAGGACCCGGTCACATCTGTTGGAACAAAGATAAAATAAATGAAGGACTTCCTCTGTAACATATCGTACAAACACTGTCAATATTTCTCTCCTTTAAGATTGCTGGTAATAATCAATAAACAATTACTAAAACTGAAAATGTTAAAGTAATTGGATATGTATGTAATATATAAATATGACAAATAAAAAAGGTTGAAAAGTAAGTGAATATATATGTTATAACTAAATAAGTGTGATTTTACACAGAAATATGTTATTAATTATTTTCTAGAAAATAAATGCTAAAATAAGAAACAATGACCGCATGCCAGTTAGAGGTCTAGTTGATAACGAAATTACAAAATCGTCTCCTTCCGATAAGCTTACTAACTCGAAATTCATTGAAATATTTTCTGGTTAACGGTTGTGATTTTACAGCAATGTCAGAGGTGAAATTTAGCGAAAGAAAATCGAAATTTAATTATCTGTTTCATCGAAGTGTATTAAAGCTGGCCTCCGGTTACACAACCTTATACCATGTCTTGAGTAAATTTCATTTTTTGTTATTTCCAATTTTCTTTCCAAGTTTCTTCTTGCACAAATAACGTTAAATGAAACGAAAACCTCACTAATTGATAATGGTGCTATCATATCGCATGCCGCAATTTTCTAATTATACCAGGCAAGGATAGCCAGTCATACTTGAACATTATACTCGTTCCCAGAACGATAAGAGTCCTTGTAATGTTCTTTTATAAAGAAAGTGTTAGTTATGACACGTTACGGCTTCTGGAAAATCATTTTGAGGTGTATTCGATTACTGTATATATTGTTCAGGGTCATATTGTACAAGATAAGTGCATTATGAATAACGCAGTTGTAATCAAACATAAAACAGTTTTGATGCACATCACTTCTTGTTTCTTACGCTTGTTTTGTTTAATATTCAAGTTAAGACTTGATATGTACAATTTCTAAGCAGATATATATATATATATTTTAAACATGCGGAAATTAACTGATAAAAAAATTTTGATAAAAGGTCGAGCTTTATTGAGTTTTGTTGTTTGTGGAACTTTACTAATTTACCAAAAGCACACCACGATTTAATTGAAAAATCGAAATAACGCAAAAGATACTATAATGCTAAGTTAGGACCGTGGATATATAGTACCATGGTATCTCATTTACTGTAATGCTATATACACTACTATTTGTTTTTATTTTTGTGATATATTCACTATTTGACCAAATCGCAACACTTATTTTGTTATCTGCTTAAAGTGCCCTTTAGAGACATAGATATACATAACTATGCGATCGATTATATAAAGCATTGTTTATAACTAAACAAATACATACATTTGTTGATTAAATGAGTTTTATACATGATGGATTTCTACTGTAAATCTTCAGATACCAGAACAGTCGTCTGATCTGTAAATTTACCGATAGTGACATTTTGACTGAGTGGATTTGCATTGCGGGTGATGCATGCATAACAGCAGACGTCTGCCCTGTCAACTCACGGGTCTCGCTATATTGTTGAAGTGTCTCCGACTCCCTTATTTTTGTTACCTTGAGTTGTATCTTTTTAATGGATTGATGATATTTGAACATCAGTAAACCCACTGTTGCCTCTCATGTATAGTGATATAAATGACAATGTTCTAAAACAACTTGTCACATTTGTCGTTTCAAATATGTATTATATAAGACACGCAGCTAATGAAAATGTGATTGTTTTTTATTGAAACAATCAATAACATATTCAAAGGCTCCTAAATTGAATTAGTATAGAATAGAATAGAATAGAATAGAATAGAATAGAATAGAATGTATGGTAACGGACGAGACCGTTTACCATAATTAAAATCCATCATCAAGATGAAGATCTGAAATAAATACGATGCTTGCTTGGTTTCACAACAAAAACCTATCATTTATGATACGAACTTGTACAAAATCGTTATACTTCGTGATATTCTATGCAACACTAGCTCATAATCATTACCGAAGTCACAAATTCATAACGTGTTAGAAAACAGTCTAGAACAGACACTTGTTTAATAAAGATCGACCGAATACGGATAAAAAAATCAAACTGAAAAAGGCTCCCCAGAATCATAAATTTTAAATTAAATTTTGATGACGAAAATAGACATTAAAGGAATTTAAAAAAATGCAATAAAATCTAACAGTAATTCATATTGCGTGAAATGGTATATTATATACAGTCATGATATAAAGGACTCAATTTAGAGAATGATGTTGAATTGTAGTCTCTTGTAGATAGATGTCTCTTTGGTACTCATACCGCATCACCTTATTTTTATCATGTAATAATGTGTAAAGTAATTATGTATGTAATATGAATGAGTAATAAATAGGAATTCGATTTTAGCATTAGAGAACATAAAACTTGATCAGTAAGAAAAGTCAATATTATATTTTCATTTCTGATTTCAATAAATCCTGAATTTATTGCAGAAATCCGTCTATTTACAACTTAATTATCAAAGTGGTAATTAAATCACGAAACCTTAACATAAAACTTAAATCAAGTCTCTCTATAATCAGATTTGATAAAATCCGTTTCACCATCTGAAAAACATGTTTAATGATGAGGACTTGATACTTGATCTATATGGACAAAAATCTTCAATCAATTAAAAATATAGGATTCTGCATTGACTACAGATCGATGAACGTAATGACACGTAATTGAATTGTGAAGTGAAAGCTGTTTGTATCGAACCATGTTTAATAAGGACCTACTTTAATCCGAAAATATTAAGAACTTCTATTTTCTTACATTAATCATCGCCACAAAAGGAAATAAATGAGCATCGATCGGTTTTCACACAATATGTAACTTCTGATAGGAGAGAAGGTTTTCTAGCATGCAATTGATTTTCTTGGATTATTTCTAGTCGTGTTTTTTTCTTGATGGCAAACCATGGATAACGGTATTTGGAAGGCATTAGCAATTTATTTCTTGACATCCGGATATGAAAAGGTAAGCCTCATTGAATTGCTCCATATTGTCAGACAAAAAAAGTCTTATTCTTGTCACTTCCTTTATCTATCAATATAATCTATTGGATCCGAGTCTTTAAGACGGCTGGATCCCCATATAAATATTGAATGTATTATTAGTTTTCTGTGTTTACACTCGGTATAGCTTTGACATTAGAATAAGTCTAATAAATACTATTGAATAAGTCCGATGTCATGAATTTTGAATACATATTCCCTATAGGGAACAACAGCCAACGATCCGATGGTATTTAGTATAATAGATTTATGTTGTGTAGTCCAAACAATAATATCTTTGTATTAAATAGTATTCAGATGAAAATGTATGCAAATTTCTTTAGTTTTAAATCTTGTATTAGTTGTAGAGAAGCCAGTCCATTCACTGGTGCTTAGCATTTTTTCTATTATTATTATGTTTCACTACCATCTTTGTTTCCGATTTTTTGACAGTAATATTGTAAATGTAACTGTTTTACAGTGAGTTAGGAACCTATTGTGAAGATAGTGGACAACAAGGGTATCAACTATATTTGATTTTGATGCACAACATATTAAGACTCTTTTAATTTTGGAAAATATTGGTGGCCTTTAAAAGGGCCGTTATTGTGTAGAGTGAAGTTCAACCTATTAAGTGCCATATGATGATATATTATTCCAGTTGAAACATGGCCATGATTTTGTTCATTGTATGGAACTTGAGAACACAATAAGTAAACATGCAGTTTTCGTTTGAATGTACGATGCTTTTTCTGTAAGATTTAGTAAAACAGACTTTTTGTTGATAAAATCTGACTTTCCATTTGTAACCAGTCAGTTTACAACAGAAATCACCCCGTGTTACTGATCGGTTTATAGCAAAAATCACTCGGTAAGGTATATTTGTTCGCGGTTCGACGCACGATCTTTCATAGTCGTACAGGAAATTAGTTTTCTGATCAAAAGCGTAATGTTTGATTAACACGGCTTCGTGGTTGTGTTTTAATTAGTATTACAACTCCATAAGGCATTTTAATTAAATTCTGCCATATAAATGTCTGAAGATTAACATATTCCGCCAGAAAAAAGTATTTTTTCAATTGAAACGTACATACATTCTCTACTAGTAGCTCTAATTGTTCAACACAAATAAACGGAAAATGTGAATAATTTCGGAAAATATAGAATAGATGATAGTTACCTTTCCAACCCATCATAAAACATTGTTGTATAATAGATCAGATGAAAATTTATATAGTGTAATTTTCATTTTTTTAGCACTGGGTAGATGCCGGTGTTGGTCCCTGTGGGTATCGTTTATCGTTCCTGATGAAGGTACATAAAAAAAAACTGCTTCGGACGTACCAAATTTAAAGTGTTATTTTTATTTTTCTATGCATATTGATCCCCCAATTGTAGACTATAGTGTTAGCTGTCCGAAAAAAACTCCCCCAGTTTTATCAGAAATTAAGTAGTAGTGCAGGTTGTATAGAGGTACATCAATGGGATAACTGAGGCGCCTATTAAGTAGTAGTGCAGGTTGTATAGAGGTACATCAATGGGATAACTGAGGCGCCTCATGGGGGTGTCCAAGTAATCACATAATCACAAATTTTTTGCCAATTTAATCACATAATCATTAATTATTTTTTTAAACAAGATAATCAAATAATAAAAAATACAGTCCTAGATTATCAAATAATCAAATAATCATGAAATATTTGGTCTGGTAATCAAATAATCACTATGAAAACGGCAAAGTAATCACATAATCAAAAACCCCATGAGGAGGCTCATAACTTAAAGCAACACTCAAAAGCAACAGAATAAATTTCTATAACGTTGATGTAATGTAAAATATACATTACACATTTACTTCACGATGGAACATATTTCAGTGAAAATAGAATAGTAAAAATCGACATACTTGTCACTTAAATTGTATGATTTAGGTTGATTCGCAGGAAAAGGGGTTTTTGATATAAAATTGAGACGAATTTTCATACGAGTTTGTCTGCTGAATAAGTTTTCATGAAATGGTTAAAACCGTATATGACAGCTTAGGGGAGGATTGAGCACTCTCAAATATAATTACCGCCACATTCTATGTGTGCATGTCCCGCTAAAGTCAGTAGCCTGTAAATCAGTGGTTGTCGTTGCTTGCTGTCTATCATATTTGTTTTTTTTTTCTATATAGTTCTATACATAGATCAGGTAGTTGGATTCTCTTTTCAATTGTTTTATATTTTGTCATGTCAGATCCTTTAATAGCTAAGTACACTACGATATTAGTTTTCTCATTGTTGAAGGTCGTGAGGTGATGTACAGTTGCTTATATCTACGACATTTGCTTTCTTGTGGTCATAAGTGCCACTTGGCAATCAAACCTCATATTATTTTCATCAAATCATTTAATATCATTAAGGAAACAGAAATATAACATCGAAACAATCATTAAAACGAAAACAGTAAGTTTGAAATGAAAAACTACAAAGGAACTAAAAGATATGTTTTTATACCATTTTTTACATGAACAAATAAAATGAAAACCTACAATATTCTACAACACGTAACCTTAGAACGGCATGGAAATGTAATATCGTTCGGGGCCATTTTTTTTTTATTAACATGGCATTGATCGACTTCACCAATATTATTTGCCAATTATATCATTGTTTACTTTGGAACGGTGTTTAAAGTTGCAACCGTAAAAGAAAAAGAAAAGAGGTTTAGGAATGATCGATACTTCTCTTTTTATTAGGCATGTTAACAACAATTGATTGCATTTGACAAAAGCCTCCTGCATTGGTTTTGGATACTCTGTGTTAAGTAGATGCTAAGATATCATTTTATATCTAGCGATATCAGCACGTGAACAGTTAATTTAAAAGTCGTTTAACAGCAATTTATTTGTTAATGTCCTTACAAATCATTAGGAGATCTCAAGAGGAAAATCTCTCCGAACCTAACATGAAGTCCCTGTTTTACATTGGCGGATCCAGAAAGTGGGAACGAAAGTAGCATGCGTCTGGCTTAAGTTTGACGAATACGGTGAATTACCGTTGTTTCGGATTAAAGAAAATAGATAGTTTACGTAAAATACTACTATAAGATAATTTTTGTATATACTTAAAAGATTGAATTTTGTCTCAGAATTGGAAAAATGAGTCATGGTTATTTAACTGTAAATCATTTAGTCAATTTCGACAGAACACAAATCTATTTCAATTCAATCCTAAATACTTGAGTTGGAAAATATGTCTGTGTTCAGAATTAAATTTATTGCTAAAACACACCAACTTTTGAAATTTCATTCCATTCAATATATACTTGAAATAGGAAAGCTATGATAATATAATTTTCTCTTGTCTGATTTTCGTTCTATGCAAAAATTGTCTTTTTCACTTCAAGTCGTATCAAATTTATTAAGAAAGCAACATATTGAAAAAAGAAACATGTCTAACAATTCATTATATTACTTTGAATCAAAATTAAAGTACAAATCAAGTTTTTTTACTTTGGAATGTTAGGTTGCAAATTAAGTTGAGAAACAAAACAAAATTAGGACAACTATCGCACAACCTTCAACAAAGGACAGATGACTATAATGAAGGGAAAGCTGGAAGGCGCTCTCGTTAAATAAAAATAAACAAAACTAAAACAGCCTTTTTCAAGCAGGAAATGGGGAATACCTGATTGTAGCGGCCATCTCGGTTAGCAAAACATGTCTCAGTTTTAAATATCAACTCTTGTTACAAATACAGAAAAAAATGAATCTCATAAAACAAGCATATTCTGACAAAAAGTCCGGCCACTCAAACTGTATTAAAAACAGGTGAGAAAAAAAGGGAATTGTGTTACCGTCTCCTCGGAGTTGAACGGAAGGCAGATAAAAGATTGTTCAATATAAGTTTTTAGGATTATTTTGAAAAGATGCGAGAAACCTTTTGAAAAATATTCAAAAGATTTCTCGCATTTAATGTTTAAATTTGACTACGTTTAACATTATATACACTTTTCGAGACCTACTTTGAATGCATCAGGTACAGGCGGAAGTGGCCATACTTTTCTAACACAAAAGAAATACACAACTGATCTAGGAAGAAGTAAATGAATAACATATCTTTTTGAAAAAAAACCTAATCGATAAAAGATACAAATGCAGATGATTGAGAAATTATCCCCCCTTTTTCGGTGTTTATACATTTCCCCACAAACATTTGTCTCTGAAAAAACAAATAAACCTTGATGTTATATTAAAGTACATATACAGATACAAGTGCCTGTGATCCCCCCAAAAAAGAAATTAGAAAATCTCAAAATTAGTATTTGCTATTTATTTTTTGTAATTCACAATACAAAGCTATTCTGCATGGAAAAACCTTTTCAAATTTCATCAGCAATGAGACGGCTAGCTTTTTAGAAAAGCTATTGCTTGTCTTATTATTGCTGTTAATGATTGAACTGTTGTTAAGAATTGTCTAGTATTTCCAGCTAAGATCGATCATATGTTATGTAAGACACAGAAATTATGCTAACTAGCAATAAACATTGAATTTGTTTTAATAAATTTAAACCTAAATGAATATGAATTGTTATAAAGGAATGAACACTTATGTTCCTACATCCTCTATTTAGATATTAGTCAATTAAGGTCATGCTTTTCTTAGACTGTTTATGTCGTCTTTAATCTTAATCCGGTGGATGTGTACTGATAGATATTTTAGTCTGGGAGAACATGATTTATTTATTAGTTGTAATTTGCTTTGAACTATAGCTTCAGTAACTGCGAATACTCTCTGGTCGGTGCTTTGTGTTTTTTTTTGTCTTTATATTAGTTGTCTTTTTTTTTTTACAAAGTTGTACTTGTGCTGTTTCATCACTGTCCCAGGTTATTTGTGAGGGTTGAGCGCTAACAAACATTTTAACCCGCTACATTCTGTATGCGCCTGGCCTATTTAATCCTCCGAGAAATCCACTGTAGTCAGGTGTATTAAAACAGAATAGACATTACCAGATCAAACTGAACAACTATCAAGAACTAACAAGAAAGAAAAAAATAAGGACAACATATAAGCTAGAAAGAATATGAATAAAAGGAGATTTTGGCTATACACCAATAAGATAAGACGCCGATCATTCATCTTTTTTTGGGGAAGTGCATATGTTTTTCTCTCGAGACAAACGATTTCTGAAACTTTAATGAATACAAATTTTTTTTTTCTATAACATAAGTAGAAACATAATTTCCGTTTAAATCCATGTTTTCAATAGAAACTTTTAACCCCCCACCCGCGTCTACAGCAATTTTAGATTTCTTTAACAAATTTAATTAGAATAATCGGCAAACAATTTATTAAAAAAAAACAATAATTTCTTTTCGGAATTATAAAGCCATGTATGTCGTTGCTTGATGAAAATAAAACACACCCGAAAAGCCTGAAACGCTTGGTTTCCTTGATAAATCTTTATCTTGTATCTGTGTACATAAAAATATTTCCCCCTCGTTAACCGGTAATTTTGTATTTCATGGTATTTTCCCGATGACTCCAATATGAATCAAAATTAAAACCATAATTTCTAATTCTACACCCAGAGGAATAAAATACAGACCATAAATTTTAATTAATATCATCTCCAATTCTAATCAATCAATTCTTTTCACTGTTTTTATTTTCATTATGAGGCCTTTCACAAAGAATTCGATATTTGATTCACACTTATTAAATTTGTTGATAGCATATTTTCCCAGATATTTATTTTTCTAGGACTGCAAATTACATCAGAAAGAAACTACATCAATGCTTGCTTGGGTTAATTAAATTGACACTAGGTCGATAAAATAGAAAACAGAAGTTAATTTCAGTGGGCAAATAAAGACTGACATATTATTAATTTATTGTTATCCAATTCGACTCTATCCAGTGCAAGTAAAAACATTTCTCTGGTATAACGACTTCAGAAAACAACACTGCCGTGTAAAAACGGAATTCTATAGCTGCAAAAATTCCCCTGATACCAATTTGAATGCGTAATGAAGTACATAAAATAGGGAAAGCGTATATCACAGTAACGGATCGACTGACACGGAACCATATTTTGGCGAATGCAGTCGATCATGCAAATTATGAAGAGTTCAGCAACTATCACCTTGATTTAATATTCGCCGCTGTAGATAAGTGTGAAGAATTATGTTAAAAATTGCAGCGGAAAAACAATGTGTTAAAAACATAGTACTGAAGAATTTTATGGTTTTTAAATCAAATGAAGGATACTTTACAAGAATATGCAGAATATAAGATGAGGAAGTGAATGACTGTGTGCAGTAATTAGCTAGATTAGATTTAAGTACGCCATAGAGTGTGTTAGTGTAATTATCTGGTGCAACGGAAGTAACACCTTATCATCTTTGTTTATTTACAGCTTTAGATGTTTACACCTGTGATGAGAAGGTGACATGGTATCACCGAAGACCATGGTAATTTGGTCATGCAGAATAAGTAAGTTTCTTTTATTGATTTTTATATACACATTATACATAGTTTTTAATTTTTAATGCATGCTATTTTCCTTGAAGGTAAAATGTATTTCTGAAAGTGACATTTTTGTTTTAGATTAGTGACACTCTGTAGCTTACTCTTCCGGTCGGAACACATGAGTGTATCCCTGATATTAAAGCTGAATTTTCTTTTAGGTATACTGTTCTGTGGCTAAATTTTTGTCTTATTGTTTTCTTTTTGCCATGATACCTGTCCTTCGAAATACAATAATTGATAGTTCCCTGACCTTGGTATTTTCTATTTCGCCACAATCTTGTTTATTCCATAGATGTTTATTCATACAAGAAACAGAGAAACTGCGAGAAAAGAATTTATCTCGACCCCCGCATCGCATCATTTTGATAAAGGCCCATCTTTACTTAAAGAATCTTAAATGATGTCATGAAATGTGTTATATTTGGAAAGCAGAACCCCCGATGCTTGTTTATTTGATCAAGTGGTGAAGAAATGGAAGGTGGACGATTGAACAAGTGTCTATAATCAAATATAGGAAAAGCAATTTGAATGAAGTTATGCCCCTTGGAAATATGAATTATATGAAAAATTGCATTGAAAGCGCTCCGAAACCTACATTTCTCGTAGGATTATTACAAAATTAATATCGAAGATTTATATCAACGATTTCTTGGACGAGTTAAAGATCCGCGCTGATAAAATAATTTTACATGAGTCCCGTGAAAATGTAAATTCTATACAAATTGCATTGAAAGTTCATTCAAGTGTACAATTCTCGCCAGTTATTTATGAAATTTATATCATAGGTTCATATCAGCAATGTCTCAGACGAGTTTGAAAATCAGTCCCGATCAACTATTTTTGAAAGAGGTATGCCCCTTCAAATATAAATGTTATAGAAAATTGCATTGTATGCACTCTAACACCTACATTTTTTGTAGGGTTGTTATAAAATTTATATCAAAGGCTTATATCCGCAAGTTCCTGGAAGAGCACAGACTAACTGTAAATAACATTGTTAGCGTTGTCATGCCTACATATCTTGTAAGATTTTATCAAAAAGTTTAAAAGATTCCAAATTTCTTTTATGGAGTTATTGCCCTTGGACAGATACAATTTGTGCAACGCGGGGAGACATTGGACGGCTGTTCTTTTATTATTTTGGTCATGGTGTGCCTTTCCTACTTTGGTATCCCTGTGGTTTTATCTCATTTTAAAAGCTTCTATAGATTATTGATAAAAAATACATTCAGTTTGCAACCTGGCAAAAACAAATTATATAACACAATATTTTTTTCTCTGTTTATCATTTTTAATTGGTAGCAATTGATAAGTCCAAACTAATGTAGTGTCTCACAAGGTGTTCCCGATTAATATTATTCACTAAAAGAAACAACTAGCAATATATTTTCATCATTATTTATCGGGATCTTGATTATATAATGAATCAAGTTGTAAAAAGAATTAAAGATAAAAAGAAAATCTTTCAAAACAAATGATAGCAAATTTGTTAGCACCTGTTCTTTAAATCTTATGTGACAAATTAGACATTTCAAAACGTTCAGCTAGAACTTCAGGCAAGTATAACAAATAGATAGCATATATCCGATGATAGAAATACTGATAAAATAAACTTTATAAATATTACAAATATTTTACGAACAATCTGCAGTATACTTCATGAGGGGGTGACACGTTTTTGGGTTGTGGGATACAGGGGTAAACAAAGTGTGGATGTGGGATATAGGGTGTAAAAAAGTTGGGCTGTTTGATAGAGGGGGTGAAAACATGGGATCTAAGAAAAAGAAGGAAAAATGTGGGGAGTGGGAAACAAGTTCGAACAAAAAGTGGGATTTGGAAAATCAGCACCCCTGTGTCACACCCTCTTTCATGATTCAAAAGATGATTTGAAATTTTGCACAAAATAGGGACAGGTACTTCTGTTTTACAAAAAAAAATATCATAATTTAAATTTAACTAAAACTACCTTTGTCTCTTCTCTATGTCGACTTTTCTGCGTTTCAAATTTAGTTCCTACCTTTTTTTGATACTGATAAGCCTTAAGCAGAAAAGTTGTAGAAAGTCAATTAAAACGTCACGAAGTTATTATGTTGTCTGGCGACACTAAGCCATTGTTTCCTAAGCGCTTATTTTACTCAAGAGAGGTTAGATGATGCAGAAATGTCAGAAATGAATAATTATACTTCATGCGATATGTTATGATAAGCATGAACTTCACACATGTCTTTAGACTGCATGTTGTATCCATCCATCACCGTACTCGTTGTTATTTCATACAAAAAAAACAAAGCCCTGTGTCGGTTTACGTGTTTGTATCTTGTTCACCCCATCTGTCGTTAAAGGGAGTATTATTTTATGAACATGGAGTCTCTCAATATTTACCTTTGTTATGTTAATGTGGAATATTTTTAACACGGATATATCGATGAATTTTCAAAGACTATGTCTTCATTCGGTAAGTAGGAAATATGACACGTTTCCCGGATAAGTATGACATTTTATGTTTATTTCCATGTAATTCCATCTTGCTTTTAGCTGTGTTTGTCATGAATTAATTTACTTGCTGCCTTCACATTCACTGCAAGAGTAGAGCATTTCAACTTACTGATAGTTCTAAACTTCTTTTGGTAATATTATTCACAAAACAAGCGATAATGTATACGAATTGTACTTAAAATTCCGTTTTTTTATGCCCCGGCATAGCGGATGGGGCATTAAGTTTTACCCTTGTCCGTCTGTACGTCCGTCCGTACGTACGTACGGACGGACGTACACTGGTTTCCATTCTCTAACTTTAGTTTGCCTCAACCAAATGAAACTTATACACAATACTTATTACCACAAAACACAGATATAGTTTGAATTTTGGTGGCGTCACTTTTACAGTTCTAGAGCTATGCCCTTTACAAATGGAAAAATTGCTGAATTTTTCGTTGCCGTTCTCTTACTTTAGTTTACCTCAACCAAATGTTATGAAACTTATATACAATGCTTATTACCCCAAAAAACAGACCAAGTTTGAATTTTGGTTGCGTTACTTTTACAGTTCTAGAGTTATGCCCCTTTACAAATGGAAAAATTGCTGAATTTTTCGTTTCCGTTCTTTAACTTAAGTTTGCCTCAACCAAATGTTATGAAACTTATACACAATGCTTATTACCACAAACACAGATCAAGTTTGAATTTTGGTGGCGTCACTTTTACCGTTCTAGAGTTATGCCCCTTTACAGATGGAAAAATTTCTGAATTTTTCGTTTCCGTTCTCTAACTTAAGTTTGCCTCAACCAAATGTTATGACTGTTGCACACAGTGATTATTACCACAAAACACAGACCAAGTTTGAATTTTGGTGGCATCGCTTTTACCGTTCTAGAGTTAAGTTTCTTTAAAAAAAGAAAAGCAATACGTGAACCCGAGACCACTGACTGGTAACCAAAAAATGTTGCTGAATTTTTTTTTTGCTTTAGATTTGAAATAATTGACTGGATAGAATAATATACCGTATACAATTGTGTGTAGATTCTTACACAAGTCAATTAAAAGCGATGTAATCATGTTCTACTTTAGTTGGAAATAGAGAAATGTATACAGCTACTATATGAATTTACCGTTTAAGGCTTGACTATTTTATTTATTACTTGGGAGTGTACAGACATCAGTTTTTCTTCGTGTTTAATATACATACAATTTCCATGTGAAGTGTTACTCTGTGGCATGCAACTTATAACAATGTTTTGAGAGTAACACACCAGCTACATTGGGACCTCTTATAAACTGACAATTATTTCGGTCTATAAAAACATCTCAAATTTTAAGGATTTCCTGAAGTTACTTTAACCAATCCAAATATTCTATGGGAAAAACTTAGTTCTAAAGAAGATTTATAAATACATGAATATGCTCTCAAAGGAACCAATTAATATAAAAACAAGATATGCATCCTATGTAGATATATAAAAATGTATAGATACCAGGATTAAAATGTTGTACGCCAGACTCGCATTTTGTCTACACAGACTCATCAGTGACGCTTGGATAAAAAATGTTTAAAAAGGCCGAATAAAGTACAAAGTTGAAGAGCATTGAAGACCCAAAATTTCGAAAAAAAAGATTTTGCCAAATACATCTAAGGAAATCTATTTATTCCTTGGGAAGAAAATCCTTAGTATTTTGAAAATTTCAAAGTTTATAAAAGGACAGTCACTCAAACAAAAAGAAAAAGAAAAGAGAAGCAGATAGAGGTCAGAACACCTTAACTTATGTTATTAAACTTCACGTCAAAATGCCAGATTTTGATTGGATAGATAATTTACTCTATCCCATGGCTCAGCGGGAGACAATTTTTTTAATGTCACCCTCTCGAACAGACCAATCAAAACTCGATAATTAAAAGGACAATGAATTGAATTTACGTGAATAAATTAAAGACGATACCCAAGGTCTAAGTTTTTGCCTCAGAAGAACTTTTTTATAGACTGTCAAAATAAAAAAAAAATTGTCTTGCTTCACTTCTGATGTTTTTTCTAATTACTGTTACGTTGTTGTGTACGTGACGTCATAGTTAAGTACTTTCAATTCAAAATTTAACAGTAAAAGACAACAATGATTGCACATTCAGTATAATAGATTAAATAGCACATATCTGAGAGGGTGATAGAGCAGATGGGTACCCCTCGAAAAAGCATTGTCAACCTTGGCTTCGCCTCAGTTGACAATGTTTTCTCGGGGAAACAATCTGCTCTATCACCCTCTCAGCTATGTGCTATTTATATAATGACCATGATTCAACGTCACATGTCCAGCTCTAACTGCCGTGTCCTTAATTTAGATAAGAAATGCGAAAATTCACAGTCCGCGAGTGAAATTAATATCTATGCATGCATGTGGTTTTCTTGGGCCGCGCAAGAAATAGTAAGTGGAAAGCATACGCACTGATACTCTGGATTACAATACGCATTTGCGTCATCACGTATATTCATTCTAGGCTCAAATATAATGCTAGTTGAATTCGGATGTCAAAGTACCTACCTCAAGTGTTTTGACTCCGGATTCATGGCCATTTAATCCGAAATTTGTGTAAACGCAAACCGATGTTGTGTCGTGTGAATATATAGGGTGTAATATAATGAAAATACATCAAGACGGGTGTATGATAGTTGGTCAACACAATGAATACTAGGGGCGGATACAGCCATTTTTAAAAGGGGGTTCCAACCATATGTCCCCATTCAAAAGCATTGATCGTCAAAAAAAAGGGGGAGTTCCGACCCCCGGAACCCCCCCCCCCCCCCCTGATCCGCCACTGAATACACAATTTTCGAAATCGCACCATATTGAAAAGATTAAGATGTTATGAGTTAAACTATTAAAAACAAAAAAAAAACAGAATTGAAATTTAATTAACAACATACATTCCTGTTAATGAATCATTTCCGAAAATTTAAAAATATAATATCAATAAAAACAAACATCAATCCGTCTTTTTGTTCTGGTGTTTTAGTTGTTGCATGGCTGTCTCATTGGCGTATATTCAACGCCTCCTTTTATTTATACACAATCCTCAGTTCTGCTGAAAAGCTATTATTATTTGAATTTTCTGCAGGTGGTTTCATTCTACAATCACGTTAATCAAGTTTAGAATTCACGAATAATTGTTCCCCTAGATGGTGATTGAGAAATTGTCACCACTGGTTTACGAATCAAGAAAAGCCTGGTTCCAAGGTCAGCGATATCTCTATTGCTAAGTCCGAAACGAGAACCTTGAATCGAATTACTTTGGTATATAAGTAGTTTACTTTGATGAAACATAACATTTGCAAAGGCATGCATTTAATTTTCAAATGCTTATACCAAATATGATATCCAAACTGTCTGTAACAACTTATATCACAGGTTTTTCAGTGCTTTGCTAAAATGTCGACAACAAAAAGCCAGAAAATATAATAACATATGTTATACAAAAGACAGACAAACCCTGATTATTACAGAAATCATGTACAAACCCAACAGATCTATTGAAATAACATATAGAGGTAAAGCGAGAAACAGTTGTTAATATAAACACATTTTGATACACAAATCTTGTTTCAATAAACATCTTAAACATTCCAAAGTTTTTAATCTTGAAAGAGAAGGATTTTCCAATTCAACTACTGATATAAGATTCTCTCAAGTGATCACTTTCTCATAGCATAAAAACCATGTTTTAGATGCATCATCCCTCTGTTATGATTATTATTTTTACATAACTAAAATATCATAAATTAATGAGGATCATGTTAGTCTTGTTATGGTTTCCATATTGTATCAGAACAGTATGCAAGCAGGAGTTTGTTTATTTTGTAATGGTAAGTCGCGTATACTGAACGGTTCTGAAATCCTAAACCCGTCTTAATTGCTAAGCATACAGTTCATACAGTAAAACAGTAACGTATCCACTCTTTCGATTTTAATCATAGTGAGCGTTGATATAAATTAAAGTTCAATTTATAAGTTGGCACTAGTATACTGCTTACAGCTAAAAGTGCGACATTTCACTATATCTTATTTTAATTTTTCACCATGACTGAAAGGTTACGAAAAAAGAAAATCGCATAAAACAAAAACAGATTATTCTTTGATTTTCATTTTGAGAAGTCACGACAAACCCTAAGGTCGACATATGTGCATGGGAATCCCTAAGGTCTTCATCAATCCGAGATGAACGCACTGGTACCCGAACGATCAACAATAGTCTGATATCTCATTATTACCGATAACTCAATACAATGAATACTTACGGCATTTTCCGATCACCGAAAGAACGAGTTTATTTCCAACTTGTAACAAAGTGTTAGAGCGCTCTGTCCAATAGTATCATTCGTTGCGTTACAATTAAACGTGGAAATAAAAGGTACACCAAATGGAATAAGGGAAAATAGACCAAAATTCATCTTACAACCAAACATAAGGACTGTGTTTGCTTCAGTACTAATAGCAAAGTACACGCAAGTAGTCGATTATGTTATTGTTAAGTATGAGAAACATGCGTTTTAGTGATTTACAAAACTTGATAGAAATTTGTTTACATTGACGATAATGTTATTTTCTTGTATAAAAAGATGAAACGTAAAATTTTCGAAAGATAATTTCCTAGCAGAAACTGTAAGGCGTATTGTTGAAAAAATAAATGAATCAGTCATTACAGCTAATTAAGCACTTTAGAATAAAAGATGCATGGATGTGTAACAGCTTCGACAAGTTTGAGCTGAAATGTTCTGTAAGATATGGTGATTGATTACCTTAGGACTTTTTAATTAAAATTTGTTTTTTTATTCATAACACGTAATTAAGTTCATTATAGTGAAACACATGAAAACATATTTGATCCATAAAGCAACGTGAGCAGGTTGAAGAAAACGAGATTACAACGAGAGTCTGGTTATTTGTCCAGAAGATTGATTGGTGTGAAAGGGAAAAATGAACACATACATAAAACTTCGACAAATGAACACATACATAAAATTTCGACAATGGTCGTCTATGGAACGCCATAGCTGTCTGCCTCCACACTTATGATACACCAGTTCCATTTTGGACATATACTATATAACTATTCATAGACCAAAGGACGAAGATGCGAATAATTACAGGTTACCAATGAGCAAAATCCATACCGTACCCGTATAGAAAACTATAATAGGGTCCGGTATGACAAAATGTGAACCCTTCAAAAGAGAAAACCAACACTCCGATTTATACTTGAACAATGTAGGAAAACATGTTTTATTTTGGAATAACGATAGGCTGACATGATCGACTGGGATATATGTTCACCAACATCTTAGACCAACAGGGCCGTTTTCGGTTTTATTGTTATTAAAGACAATGTTTAATGTTAAAACCGATCTTTCGCGAGGATAAGCAGCAGTGTTAATAAACAACTTTTATAGAACATATGTAATTTAATAAATGTAACAATGCGCTCCCGACTTTCATTGCCTGTCCGCGGAATATTGGTATCAAAACTCCTATCTTTCCTTTTTACACTGTAATAAATTTGTTGAAGGTTAATGTTTGCAGCACTTATCAAGTTAGATACGTATGAAAATGCAATAAGAAAACAGTAGACTAGATAGACGCTTTCATTGATTTACTCCATGCAGTATTCCATGGAGATATAGACATAAAAAGCATGCACAAATATAATATTCAAAGTATTTATTTCGTAATATTTGGTATATTGAAATACACTGTCATTAATTTAACAGTGTATTAGTTTAGCTATTTTAGTTCGAAACTGGTATAAAAATTAACACAAATGGTTATTAATACCAGTGATTAGTCTTGCTAAACAGTAAAAATGTCTAAATATGTATTCTTGGTTTTTAATCTCGTGTATAAATAGGTTCAGACTTTTTATTTTCCATTTACCTAAGAAAACATATATTAACCTTTAAAGAGGTTATAAAGAAATCTGATTTTTTCAAGTTTAAAAGTTTGAAAGCATATATGTGGACTGGACTATTAGTATATTGCAAATGCAGTTTTTGAGTCATCTTTTGTACTTCTATAATTTGATTATAATATTCAGAAGTTTTATATAATTTTGTTATTAATACCAGTGATTAGTCTGGCCAAACAGCTATAGCAAAGATGTCTAAATATGTATTCTTGGTTTTTTATCTCTTGTATAAATAGGTACTAACTTTTTATTTTCCATTTACCGAAGAAAACATGTACTTCTATAATTTGATTAAACATTCAGAAGTATTCGATATAATTTTGTTCGAAAATTAAAGTATGAAGCCATGATATATTGTAAACTGTTATTAAGATTAAACTACAATTTTAGAAATAACTCTGCTGATGGAATTGGACCCTTATTTATTATCAAAGTCAAGGGCTGGTCTGAATTCATTCAGTCTGATTAAAATCAAACCTCTCACTTGCTATAGTTTATTTATATGTCGCTCGTGGGAGGTCAAAATCAAATCCTCAGCACTTCCGTTTTCTGATATGTCGCGCGACATATAAATAAACGATAACAAGTAAGAGGTTTGATTTTAATCAGACTTGAATTTTTTATTTTTGCAATGTGTTGTATGGTTTGTGTTGAATTTTCAGCAGAAAATATTATAGACAAATATTACTGAAAACGATTTTATTCATGATAATAATCGTATTCTCTAGAAAAAAAGTCTTTTGAAATAAATTGATTTCAAAAGAAAGAAAAAAACATCAAAGAAGACGGAGAAACACTGACATATAAAAGCCACAACATTCTTTATACTTAAACTGAGGGTGTGTACATTACAATGTTATATTTTTGGAAATCACGAAGAAATATAATTAAACATGTGACAAATAGCACTTATCTATCAATAGCGACCAGTTTCTAAAATGCTGGATTAAACTGCATTATTTTGAGTAAAATTTCATTTGACGGGAGTTTGGTTAATATTAACAAACCTGATTATTTTCAGATATAACCATGATGGTCTTACTTTGGTTAATCAACTTGACTTGTTCAGGACATACCTGCCCAAAGGATCTGCTGAGCGAAGTCTTCAGCTGCCTGCGGAACTTAACACATGGAAGTAATCAAAGCTCACTACTTTCATCTATTGACGTCGATCTGATGAAAAGAAATTGTGGGTAAGTAATTAGAAGTCTTAATTAATTATTCATATAAATCTTAATGAAGAAAATATTAGCTGAGATGAGGATATTGCATGTATTGTAAAATCGGTTTTAATTAAATATGATATTCTACATGCGACTACTGATGCGAATGCCGCATTCTTCTTTTGAGCGAAAGATACAAAACAGAGAACATGACACTGTATAATGTAAATAATTGGAAAAATATGCAACAATTTTTAAGTTCAAAACTTTCCATGTATATATATGTGTCAAGTATATACTTCTGAAAAGTGTGTGTACGGTACAAGTTGAACTTTCCTAGTTTTTTTGTGGGAAAGCACGTCAAATAACTTTCGAACAGGGAAGGACGGAGGGGTGGATGGTTTTTATCTGTTAATTTATGTAAGGTGTTAGATTTATGAGATACGGAGGCTTGCTCACTACTGCTCTTTCAGTTTCAATATTTTTTTTGCCGTATACACGTCAATTACATTACCTGCGTCTTTATTCCTTGATGCAGACTGTCGTCTATATATTTAACTAACCAAATGCATGTGTATTAGGAATTTTGTGGATCTTGTGTATTTTGTTTTATGTAGTTTATAGCTACAAAATATCTGCACTTTAATTGCAATTGCTTTGAAGTTTCTGAATATGTTTCGTTTATTGAATTATAGGTTCTTTCATTCGGTATATTTCAAAGGTTTGATGGAATGCTGTTTAAGTTAAGTCGTAGGGAGCCATCTATTTATGTGTAAAAGGGGGACAAAGAAAGAATTTGAAAAAGTTAGGATTGAAAGCAACTCTCTTTACGCCTTTAGTAGTTATCAGAATTGGGTTTCTGGGTTGTATGGCCTGTTGTTTGACTGTTATGGTTGGACTTAACCAACAGCACACCTTACGGACTTAGGGGGATGAGTAAGGGCCTGAAAACAGTTATAACAAACACAGTGAAGTAGGTTTTAGAACTTGTATCTTCAAAAGCGCATGAGAAAGTGTATATAATTAATAACAATATAATAGTATATAATGCAAATAATAGAAACATATAATTCATATAATTTTACAATATAATTGATCAATTAATATCTTTGGTATACAAACTTTACGTTAATGCATGAGCATATGCATTTTAGCTGACGAACACGGATGCTTATAATATTTCTTATAAATAAAAGCGTATTTAGCATTCAAATATATGAGCAAGATGCGGACTAAATCTTAAATGTATGAGCATAATGCGAGACCTAATATTTGAACCTAACGGAGCATAAAGCATGTGCTGAACAGCATAAAGTATTGAATGCATAATATCTTAACAATGGACATGAATAAACATGTTGAATTCTTTTATCTTTCGACTTATAATCATGGTAGAGCATATATTGCGCTAGTAAAAACTTAAACTATATAAAAACCTATTAACCCAAAAATAATCAATTCCGACGATGAGCATTGGTTGAGAAATATTCGAAATCGAGACAAACTTAGCATTACGAAACTAATCGTGAATATTCAAATAATATAAATATTAAACAATATAATATGAAATGGGGAAACTAGCTTTTTAAAATATATATGCTTGCTTTGTATCAAAAATTCATGACTCGTAATAATATAGGGCTAAACAACAAGAATAGTTTACGATAAATAATTTCTTATTAAATTAGCCTACACATGTGGAAATTACGCATAAAGCGTTTATTAAAATAATTGACATCTTACCCTTGCAGAACTGACCTTAATTCTTATTAAGTATGAACAAGCGATAGGTTAAAATTATCATTTCCAACATGCGAGCGTAAAACTAAATTCTATAAAGCGTTTAAAAATACCCTTGAGTACAGAAAGTTTGTGAAGAATAAACCAACCTTTTTTTGAACATATATACATCTATTTACACTGATCGAGAAACAACAATTTGGTCTTAACTTCTTTACTTGCAGAACTCATAGATATTTAACTTCAACTTTACTAAATGAAATGGAAACGAAACTTTACGAAGTTTCATGATTTAATTGAATAAAATAATGAAAGAAACATATTAAATTTTGAATAATTAAAATACTTGACTCACCTGAAAACAGTTATAACAAACACAGTGAAGTAGGTTTTAGAACTTGTATCTTCAAAAGCGCATGAGAAAGTGCCACTTTTGAGACCGAAATTCACTTGTTCGATTTTGCGTTACTGTTTCAGGTTCGACCAATCAGATTCGTTAAACACCCGAGCCACTTAGTTACCCTGATAATTTGGGGTAAAAAGGGGCGTGGAAAGGTCTTTGCTGGACAGAACAAAGAACCCTAATTGACCAGGTTACCTAGACATATGTTGTTTACACAACAACTTGTTTGTGTTTAAAGGACAATAGACTTAGTAAAAAGACATGTCTAATTGTGTCCACTTAGCTTGTCGCTAAACATCTTAAATTGATAAAAATAATGCCTAACAAAGAGAAAATCTGAAGTGACAAATGCCAAAGTAAATATCTGTCAAATTTGAACTTTTTATCTTAAATATATCGAGAATATAAAAATGATTTCCTTCAACAATAATGAACGAATATAAAACAAAAATACTTTTAATCAATACTGCAGCTTCGAAATGGACTTTATATAAATAAAATATCTTAAACTTATTCCTTTTTGCTGAAAACCAAATTTTCACAAAAATATAAAATGAGGTCTAAAATGACTCCATGACAACTCCCCTCTACTTCAGCTGATTTCGTCCCGAAATCTTGAACGAAATTTTTTTCTGGAAAAATAGTAATAATACATTTTAGAAATCAATAAACATATTTAAATAAACACAATAAAAAAACAAATCACACAATATATACAAAATATAAAAACAATATATAATCAAATTAGTCCTGAGTAATAAGGTCATATAAAAATTATTGTCCATAGCATCATCTATACAAGAATTTCTTTGAGTTGTTTTTGAACGCAACTTGTTCAAAACTTCTAAGAAAAAAAATAAACACGCATATCGTGGTTTTAGAAAACCTACGGCTGATAGCGGTGAGCAAAAATATGACAATGAACAAACTGTCGATTTCAATATGTGTTCATTGTGTCTAATATGTCACCGAACTATAGAAACGATATGCTGTATGAAATAATAGAAAAGTTGGAATCTTAAAATACCGATGTATTCATCCTAAACGATGGACCTGAACGACAAACTGAAATGAAATAAGTCAACTGTGAAATGTAGGTCGTTGTAATCAAGATGTTACTTCGCCTCAGTTGACAATGTTTTCTCGGGGTAACAATCTGCACTATTAACCTCTCAACTATGCGTTATTTATAAATTAACATCTACTTGACATGATCTTTTGGTAATGCATGTGTCAATGGACTTTGTATAATTCTTGCCATTAATTTTGTGAGCCATAAATGGCCATATTTAACTTTTATGTCATTTGGTCTCTGGTGGGGAGTTGTCTCATTGGCAATCATACCACCTCTTCTTATTTTGATAGGGCTATCCCCAGAGAAGTTGAATCTTTCAAATATAAAGTCCAATCTTGGTATATTTTCCTTTGTTTTTTTTCAATGGAATTCCTTTTTTTTTACTTGTCAATAAAACTTCTTGTAGCGCTGTTATTCAAATGTGTCGAAATTTTACTTTTAGATGGGACATACAGTGTTTCTTTCATTTTCAACCAATTAAAATGAAAGTATTTTCCTTATGATGAATCATAAAAAAAGATTTTTCATATAACTCTAGTTTCCACGATATCATGCGTCAAAGGGGTAAACAAAATTTTTATACAAGTAGTGCATAAAAAAAATCGATAATCACGCTTATAAATTGAATCAAGACTTAGTACAGTTGTAATGCTACACTGATCGAAGCTCTGTTTTTTGTTTTTTTTTGTTGTTGTTTTTTTTTTATTTCGATAGCGATAGGATACAGGAAAGCATCTGATCATGTTTAGCCTCGGGGATTGATTAAAATGCTTCCGCCTGCCATTTATCGCAAGCAAAATCAATATAAGAATTATGTTTCGTTTGAAGCTACACATTTTTATGGCTGTTTTCCATTTCATAAACCCATGTGTAAATAAATGTTGGACTTAAAAATATAAAAAAGAATAAAGGATTTTAAAGGAGTTATAAACAAAATCACAAGTCGATAAAAGACACGGAAAAAAAAAAATAATAACGAAAAAAATATTGGTTCATAAAGCAATACTTACTAAATTCCTATCATCTGGCTTGAGCCCATGTGCTCAGGAAGGGTAAATCCCTATAGTATTAATATGTGTTACGCTAGTGGCAAACGTCGTGTTGCTTCGGGCAATAAATAAAAATCAGGCGATAAAACGTATTTGGTGACAAACCATGAATGAAGAATAGCGGATTAAGACTTAATTTATTTTTCAGAACTGGAGCATTTGACGACAGTGTTCAGTGCCTAGATAGATTATATAAACGTTGTGATGACCCTGAGGCACAAGAGTGGTTACATAAATTAGCTAAGCCCGGGAGATGGAAGGCTGGTTTTGATAGGTTTTGCAAACATGTAAATTGTAAGTACTTGGTGTTTAAATGGTTAATTTATACCAGGTCATCTGTTCATATGTTGAAGTTGGCAAAGCAAATATTCGATTTTATACATAGTATACGAATGGGAATGAAAATCTCGACATTCTTGCATTATTTGGGTAAAATACAAGTAAAAAAAAATGGTTTGCGATTTTGCTCTGTGATGATATAAATGCAAATTTTACAAATAATCGCAACAGCAGTTTACCGATGTTCAAGCCTCACCAAACGATCAAGAAGACCAAACAGGTTAGCAAAAATAAAACTGAGGGAATAGCATGAACTCCAAACGAAGCCAGACCGGATGCGTCATCAGTGTAAGCGTCTACTGCTATATATGTATCACCCGCCATGTCTTACAAGAAAGACATCACCTATAATCATTACAATAGTATAATGTAAAATTCTGCACAATATTTTTCTATTCAACTTACATTTCCATTTTTTTCCAGTATATACAAAACAGAAATTGTGTATCCAGAAACAAAACGAAAAAGTTTTGGCCTGCGTCAATAGTAATAAAGATGTTTTTAACAATGAGCAAAAATACGTGGCTACTACTAGAGATGGCTATAAGGTCGATGAAAATGTAATAAAACCTACATGCAGGTATGTTTGTATAATTCTGAATAACATTTGAGTAAAAAAAAACCTAACTCTATCTATATATCGATGTTAATTCTGTAGTTATTTTTCATCTTTATCATACAGACATTTTGTACTCTAACGCAGACCAAACATGATGTCATACTTTTGGGACATATATTGACATTTTGCTGTAAAGCTGTAATTAGTTTCAATTACATCAGTGGACAAAGACGGATATCAACCAGACCCAAAGCTGGAAGAATACTCAAAATGAATAATAAAGGGTTACTGTCATATGATAAAATTAAAAAGCAAATGTTACAAAAATATTTAGGGCACTCTAAATCGAGTATACTTCTGACCTGGCAAGCGACTGTAGCAGGACTGTCAACTCATAGTCTCGTGACCTGGCCTCTATCCATGTCAGGACTGAGAGCCTCATAATCTGGCAATTATTCCCATGCAAGAACTTTCATAGACTCCTATTTTATAAAGTAACCATGTAAGACTGGTAAAGGCTCCTTGTCTGACAAGCGATCATGTCAAGAATTACTAAGACTGTGTTGACCTGCAAAGTAACAGTACCACGAATGACAATAAACTTTTCAGCTGGCAAGTAAACATGCGCGAGGACTGAAATACTAGTAGACTGACTGGTCATTAATAATTCCACGACTTACATAGAGTATAGACATGACCAATAACCATGACAGGACTGTCATAAGAGTCCGGATTTGAAATCCGGAGACAATTTTACAAAAGGGGAAGTTGTTACTATATCTTGAAATCCAATATGATCATATAAACCAAAGGTTTTGTCATTTTGATACATTTAGTGTATGCTGATAATTTATTAAGTTTTTGACGAAAGTTTCTAGAGGAAATGAACACGCTTTACATTAATGTATAAACAAACTCATCAAGTCCGAAATCATTTGCAAAATGGGAGCGATTTAATAACAATGAAGAAATGAAACAACGATTTTAAAGACACTTTTCAAGTGGAAGTTTCAGTTGGTAAAAACCTTCGTCTCAATTCTATGACCTCCTTTAAGTTACAACCGACGTAATGTATTACTCCTGATTTAACACTATTGGTCAAAAGCAATTTTAAATACACTTAGAAACATAAAATTTACCTCATATTTGGGGTGTTTTGAGTCATCTTGAATTGTGGGTACAAACATGTTTTCTTTACAACGAATCTACATTCGATTTAAAAAAAAAGTTGAACAAATGTTAGAATAAACTCACCATAGATACCAGACTTGCAATTTTTTACGCTAGACGCGCGTTTCGTCCAAAAAAAACTCATCAGTGACGCTCGATTCGAAAAAAAGTTAAAAAGGCTAAATAAAGTACGAAGTTGAAGAGCATTAGAACGTGTACGAGGCAACATTGGTAACTCTGTGCTCAAACGCTGTATATTTTTGGAGACTTATTTCCGTTTTATAATCGATATGTGTTCACGAACAATAATTACAAATCTTTCTTCATTTCAGCGTATTTCATTGGACAGATAAGTGTTTGAGTGGTCCACTTGGAGACGAGTGTGGAAGAGAAGTTGGCGCTGTAGTAGCAGACTTTAATGGGGGGATTACTCCTCCTTTATGTTTTAATTATCAAGTAGACAGTTCATCAACAAGGACTTCGCATTCGTCCAAGTTTATTGTGATATTAACATGTGCATTATCGTATATACTGTTCTCCCGTCTACGGTGATGGACATTTCAGAGAGTGTGTGGATGCATAAGTGTCATTCATTAAGTAAACTGTCAACTTAGATCTTCAAGGTGTTTCTAAGGAAGCACTGGTACATTAGCAACTAAAGTACAGATGAACTTTACCTTAAATGGGCAACGAAATGTCTTGTTAAGACAATGTTAAAATAATGTTAATATTTATATCATGTGACGGCATATACTATTTGTGGATGGATAGCTAATATAAACACAACAATTATTCAATGTTGAGTGTTTTGTCTCGAACAATAGGGCCATAATTCACCAATAGACATCCACATATTTGGTATGTGAATGAATGATTTAATGTGTGGATGAGGAAAATTGAGATGATAAACTAAAATTGAGCATTTAAAATGCATATAGATTTAAGAGAATGTATCGGAAATGTGAATTGCATAAGGTATTGCTAGAAATACCATACAAAACTATGCTATTTATTCAACACACGATGAAGTATAGATCAAGATAGTTCTAACGAATTCTCAAACATTATCAAAGTAAAAAGCAAATTTATATATGCTCTATCGGTTATTTAAAACTAAAAATAAAAAGGATTGGTTTCTAGATCCTAAAAAGTCTGATGTGTTTCAGTGTTAGCTGATACATATCATTTCACATGTTATGTGAGAAAAAATGTGTGTTATGTTGAACGTTTGCCATGTAATGGCTTTAAGTGGTTATTTTACCAGAACCTATGTATATGTATTACCTTTATGTTTCTTTATGTATTGAAAGCTACTTGAAACTAGAAGACTATTTAGTAGGCAATCACTTTGTTTCTGAAAATGTATTAAATCCTCTTTTTATCTTGTATGACTAGACTACCTGCTTATCATTGCAGTCATTTTCAAGTTCTTTTAGGCTTTTTTTCTACTAGGAATTAATTCATAACTGTTGCTACAAGTTTTTGAATAGGAACTTAAGATATTTTAAATAAGAATTTAAGATATTTTAAATAGGAACTTAAGATATTTTAAATAGAAAATTAGCAGATGCAAGATTTTGTCAGCATTTAAAAAAAAAAAAAAGACTTCTGCTTTATTTTATTGTGGACTTTATTATTATACGATAATTATGTGGAACAATTTGGAATTTCCTTTGAAAAGAACTGAATACAAATATTCAAAAGACTTTATTTTATGAATTATTATTGAAGAGAAAATATTGATAAAAGTTTACAAATTATATTCTTTTTTTTAAAGGAGTGGAAATACTATAGTCCTGATCAAATACTGAAATACTGATGTTTCTGAAGATCAAACAAAATATTATGTATTCAATTTTGGATTTTAAACATTCAGAATAAACAATGAATATTTTAATGTTCTTGTATTGACTTAAAACTGTCAATTTATTATGTGTAGGCTCAGCAGTGTGAACATGTAAAGTTTGTAAATATACAAAATACATAGATTGATATTCATTTACAAAACTTCACCTCTATAATGTTGTGTATAAACATCAGTTAGTGTTGCCATGGACATCACTGTTTGATTCAAGGGAAAGAATTCTTAAAATAAGACTTCCTTTTAATGTATTTCTATTTGTGAAAAAGGAAATTTGTAAGTTGGAAATGCTTTCCATTGTTTGACTGGATCTATTAAGATTCTGTTGAATATGTAACAGCAATTTGTCTTGTATATTGCAAGAAATATGGCTTAATGTATCATTATGCAATTGCAATCATGCATGTGTGTGACAAACTAGCATTGTACATGAACAATTGAAGCTTATTATGCTTGTTTTAATATGCATGTTTTTATGCTTTTAAGAGTGATTGTTGATCAAAAGATATTTTTATGTTTTGAAAGATTTTATGTGTTCTGACAGGTTTAACACACAAATATAATGTTGTTAATTGTCTTTAATTTTTATTATTTAATCATATTTTTTTTAAGTTCAAGTGATATATACAGGATCAGAAATTGATTCTTGTTGAAGCATGTGAACTTTTTTGTTTTGTTCTATTTTCATTTTGTTTGTTTCATTTTTTAATAGTATCTCAAGAGTGGGATGATAATAACTATGTATTGACTATTAAGAATTTTTTTTTTTTAGTTTTTATGTTTAGATTAAACATTCCAGGAGTATTATCAAATATAATGATCATGAAAGATCTATCAGTGTGATAAAGTTGAAAAAGTATTATATATTTAACACATTTCAACAGGCTTTACAAAGAGCTGTGGTAATCACTTTTCGATTCCCATTCTTTCACTGAGAGGATATCCTCAGTTTAATTTTTTATACTGGCTCCAGATGGTTTTAAGAGTTAATAAATGAGATTTTTATCTTGCAATTTGTTCTTATGTAAATCACTATAGCTATACACTTAAATGCATATCATTACACAGTCTAGTGTTATTACTATTGTTTGTAAGAGTCAAAGGTTCTGTGTAACAATAAAACTAGGAAAATGGATTTTGGCGTTAGCGACAGCTGGTTTTTATATGCATTTGGTGTATAATTATGTTGAAATGCTTAAACAAATTAGAAGTATAGTTTATCTAAGTAAAGGATTACTTATTATTTTTTAAGATACAAATTACAGTTAGTTAAGTAAATATTTATTTATGTTTTATTCAATTTTTATAAATACTGATATAAAATATCATTAAGATGAAAACATTGTTGTTTAATAAAAAATAAAAATCTTTATTGATTTTTCCCACTTATTTTATAGCTTTACTGGCCAGTATAAATATATCTGTTGTTACACTTGGGTATTCGTTATTTGCCGTCCGTCGAATATTTTCACCATCCCTGCGTATTCATCCTATATTTTTGTAACGTTTTTTGTGATCACATTCGTCCTTAGTTGTTTGTAACATCGTCCAATGACTATAGGCATTCGTCCTTAGTCATCTTTAAGGCATTCTTCCATCGTTGTCTCTTAACAACATTTTCCCATACTAGGAATTCTTTCTTTTATTGTTTGTAATATTTGCTTTTGAATAGGCATTATTCCTTTGTCGTCTGCAACATTCTCCTATTACTAGGAATTCCTCCTTAGTCGTCTGTTCCTTTTTTTCACACGGGGCCTCGTTGATCTAAGGAGTTCATCGCCTGTCAACAATGAGGTTGTGAGTTCGAACCTCGCACATGGTAGGTGCGTTCGACTCTAATCTTTGTAGACTAGGATTGCAAGTTTTCCTGTCGAAGGTCGGTGGTTCTCTGTGAGGACTCCAACAATAAAAACTGAACGCCACGATATAGCCAATAGTTCTGAAAATTGGCCGCTTAAACACAAAAATTCATTAATCCTTTTTCAAACCACGTTGCCTTTGTCGTCTGTAACATTTCCCCATCCTAGACATTCATCCTGTGTCGTCCGTCTGATCACCGTAGCTCCAGACATTCATCCTGTGTCGTCCGTCTGATCACTAGCTCTAGACATTCATCCTGTGTCGTCCGTCTGATCACTAGCTCCAGGCATTCATCCTGTGTCATTCGTCTGATCACTAGCTCCAGTCATTCATCCTGTGTTATGTGTGCATTTATCAAAAATGGCATATATTTCAACAATAATTTCATATTGTTGCAATTGAGATGATTTAACAAAGTTTATGTTTTCAGAATTTGTCATTCTCTCGTCATTGTCCAGGACATCGTAGCGCCATATTACCGCTTGCAAAACAGTTCAGTTATTTTGCATTATTTCTGACACTTGTTTTTATATACGGAACAAATTTATTGAATTTAAGCAATATCATTTTCGGTCAAATTTGCCTCATTATGACATTATAAACATGTTGAAAATTGACGCATATGACCTTAAAATGCGATTTTACACATATTTTTTTTTTTTTTTATAAAATTAGTTATGAGCCAATGCCTTACCAAGAAGATTTTTTATCAAAACTTACATCTTTGCAGAAGAGGTCTTGTAGCTAAATATATTTGAGTGTAAAGCTCATATCCAACTATTAATGATGAGGCCTTTTTTATCAGTTTTGCATGAAAGGAAGAAGTTTGAAAAAATATTGACAATGATATCTAACAGACTAAATGAATGTCTTGTGTACTTCTAAAAGATATATTATTTGATAGATTATAATACTTTTGATTTTCGAGTGAATTCAAGGATCAAAAAGTTGCCTTATAATTATACCTTCTCCTTATAAGCATTGTTTGGGGTGGATATAGTTAACACCTTTAGTTTTGATAAAAGCTTATCAGGCAACTGATCTATGATAATAAACAATAATTAATTCTTTATTAGAATAGGAAAACTAAATTAGAACTTGTCTAACTTTCATTGTAGTCATCGAACAAATGCATGCATACAGTACACATTCAACAAAAAAATACGACATACTAGTTCATACCAAACTATTATTAGATTTACAGTCATTTATGTACAGCTCTTACTTAGTACATACTTTTGCTCAAATCATGGACCTACCGGGGGCATGGACATTTCACAAGACAAACACTTCAACTCAATATATAAAACAAATAACATAGCCGCAGATCAAGTCAAAAGACACTATTCATATTAGTATAATAAATATCTTTCTTGAGAACTAATGACGTTGAAAAAAAAAATGTTTTGCTAAATTCAATAGAAAGATGTGTAATGCTGGACAACATATTCGTGATTTGAACTCTTGTGGATAGGTCTTATTGGCAATAATACCACATCTCCTTATTTTTTATCGTCCTCAAATTTCTTGTAGTCGAATAGGAAAATAAGTCTAGAAGTACAATAAGTATAAGTTCTGCTATGACGGGGAATACCCTAGTTCTATTTGTAACATGAATGAAGAATTAAGTAACCTTTTAAAACTCCATTTGCTAAAAGATCTTGGTAAATGCTGAAAAATTAATACAAAGGAAGGCAACTTATGATGCTTATCTATACGTGCTAGTTAATCGTTTATATTTTGATTTCAAACATATCACCAAAAACAGAAATTGAAAACTATTAGTAACTATATACACATAGTTGTGTATCGGTAAAAATCAATTGTCTCTTGTGTCATTTATGATGATTAAACAATGCATATGCAAACTGATATGACTTTTAAAGTCATTTGATTTTATTCATAACCATTTACCGTGAAGACTATTCTTGTATGTATTAATGATATTTACTCGAGCTTTCTTTACGCTTTCCATATATCTGCACACTAAAACATATAAAGAGCAGGGAAACTCTCTAGAGGTGAGTAGCGGAGGATTGTCTAGAGGCAAGAAGTGACGAACTGTCTAGAGGCAGAAGAATCTGTATAAAGGCAAGTACACTTACACGATTAGTATATCATGTTCCATATGTTGACTTGTGCTGATCGATTGGTCGTTGGTTTCTTTATACGCCACCTTAACACATAATGGTTATCGAAGAGCCGAAATTGGGAAATATTCAAACGTTAAAAGAGGATTTCCTTAGCCCTACCACCCCCGTTCCCCTCCCCTTATTTTGTTTTTTTTTTAATTACAGATCTAACTTATTGTAAAAGATATCCATATGGAAAACAAAATACTAGCATAAGGGCAAAATCGACAAAACTTTCTGAAAATTTAATCTTTGCAAGATGAACTATCTGAAATTTTAAAACATGTAAACTAGCTGTGCCGTTTTGGTGTTACTATGGTTGATCATAGTTGCATAGCCAGTTTCTATGGAAATTCAGTAAATGTGGTGATATTTGGTGAGTAATCTCCCCTAAAATTGTTCGTATGAATGCATCGTGAATATATCAGTTCATTCATTAAGGTTTTACCACTATCGTTGGCATTCGAATTGTAACCAAGTAAATGTACTCATAACCATTCAATGAATGGGAAGAAACCATGTAAGCTCTATGGTTAATAAAAGTTTAAAACGTTTAAACGAGGGGTCGAGTGAAGAACTGTCCAATGGTATCCATATGCAAATAGTCATATTCATGGAGTTTCATATGAATCAAAATTTCTATTCCAATTTCATTTCTGAAACGCAGATGTTGGAATTTGTTTTGATTGCCTCCCAGAGAATTTAATTAGCACACTACAGAAGCTATCTTAAAAAACTCAAGAACGATCAAATATCTGTTTAAAAACAAAAAGTGTGATATAATTAGTTCTATGATAAAGAAACCACTGGTGACATTTCTCTTTTTGGTTGTTTCTCATCATTAAGATTTTTTAAGGACGGAAACAACAAAATTGGAAAAAAGCGTCCGAGTCGAGGTCAAAACAAACTTTTAACGGTTCACCATGATCCAGAAATAATAGTTTTGTAATTATTCCACTGATCATATGTATCAAAGGTATGTGATGAAATACTCAGTGCTCCACTTTTTCTGAAGCATTGCTTATCAGGTAAAATCAACAGTTTCAGCATATTTTGTAAACATGCAATTTTTTGTAAGTAATCATAAAAGTATCGCTTTTTTTGGGGCGGCGGGGATGGGTGTGCGCCCTTAGTCCTACAATTGGAAAACACTCTCTCTCGGAGAAATTCTAAGGGGCACACCTCCTAACCTCAATTTTTGGCTCATCCCCTGATTTCACCTTTGATAGACAATATTATAGTATCTGCTCTCAAAAACTGGTGTGACATGTCTTACTGTAAAGTCAACCTTGGAACCCATAAAAAATGGTTGAACTATAATTTACTCAACAACCAATATTTCCGGATTAACAGTATAACGTATATCGACTGGCCAAAAGAGTCCCTATATTGTGGTTACAGAGGTAGTTCAGTAGTTGGATCTTATCTTCAATTGTCTATCCATGACTGATGGTGTAATTTTTGGTACTAAAATTCGAAACCAACACAATCTGCGTTGATGTCCTACTGAGAAATATTCGCCAAAACTTCTATACAGGATTTTAGTCTATGATTTAAAACATTTTCCCCAATTAGTGAAACATTCCTTCAAATTTTCGTATTGGGTCAAATCTATTGGTAAACACCAAACACACAAGGGCGTGTATTATGTATCTATACGTTATTGCTCACTGCGCTCACAAAGGCCCAGTTAATGAGGTCTATAGTCTACCTCAGTACAGTTAGCTTCTTACATGTGTCCTAGGTAAAACCCTATATAATTTCCTTGAGGTTCCGAGGTATAAATGTTGTCGCCACAATGGAAATACACATCCCCAATCTCAAAGATTTCAACTGCGGATTTGTAATATTGTTTTTTATTTCAAACTATTTATGTTATCTTAAAGATGTTTATCCGATGATTATGATATGACATCAGCGGTGAGTCTGTATTATGCCTCTGTCAATTATTTCAAATTTATCCGACTACCCTTAAATATAACCTAGAAAAATCCAGAGGAGCATTGCAATTTTTACAAGTTAATCATAATTACAAAAGAACATACATTTTTTACAAGTTATGGTAATAGTCATAATTACAAAAGAACAAAACAATAAATTGTATTTTATAGTTATCCAATGCACCAAGATGTCCATTACACTAAAGAAAGACAGAATACAGTACCTGTACATCGGTCATCTTGTTCTCCGTGTTGCGCCATCTGCATTTTCTAAGTTGTTTGACAGACATTACAATGGCGGGTTTAAAGCAGCATTACTGGGAGAGAAAGACAAACTTGGTGAATTGAAAGACGAAAAGATCATCACGAATGCTCAGTGGCAACAACTGAATACCATCACAGGTGAACATTACGATATGCGAGGTCACATATGCACTTTTCATACATAAAAAATGACAAATCATGTCAATTGAAAGTTGAGGGCACCCTTTTTATATAGCTTACCTAACCATTTAGGGCCATGTGAACTTGTCGTCCTTATTTTCATATTGATTGCAGGGTTTGTTGCTCGTGCTATATTGATGCCATAGAATGTGTCCCCGTGCTTGTAGTGTATGCCCTTATATCTTACAGTTATTTTACAGTTATGGGTTTTTTAACTTGTGAGAGAGCTGACTATATTAACAGTTTTTATTATTACATGAACTTGGGTGGATAGTTGTCTCATTGGCAATTATACCACATCTTCTTACTTTTATATTGTGCTATCATTTGGAGAAGTCGTCTTCGTCGTCCCTCCGTCGTCGTTCGGTTTTCGATCGCTAACCTTTTGAAACATCTTCTACTCTGTTTTCACACAGTGTCAGTAAGGATGTGAGGGATGTCTTCTAAAAAACGATCTTTGTTTGTTCCTAGCGGTTGTCACATGTACAGCTACAATAAAACATAAGGCTAAAGCAGCTTTTTATTTGTTGTTATATTAAAAAAAACTGCAACAATCAGAGCAAAACTGACGGGTTAAAGTGATCAGTACAGGTCTAAATCTATCTACCCTGAAATTTTCAGAAATATTGGATAACGGGATTTGGAGTTTTTGGCCTTGAAATATTCTTTTTTTTAGCTAATTTCGCATTTTTTTTTGTTATTAATTTCAAAACTACTGTAGAAAGAGACTTTTAAGGAGAAAAATTACCAATGAGTGAGTTCGTCAAATAAACCAAACTGACTGAATTCATCAGTCGATTCCTAAAGGAGTAAATGCTCTTAAATGACGATTTTTACCCATTTTTAGTTTTAGTGGTTAGATTGTAATCTTGAAGCGAAGAAGTCAAATGACCGAAATCGTCATCAACTTCTTATAGGAGTGATTGTCCTGCGATGATATTTTTAATGCATTTTTGTGTTTCTTTTGGATACACAGCTAACACGACCAACTGGACGTTATCTTCAAATAAGAAACAACGGATGAAATCGGCTGTTGGCTCCTTAAGGCAGCCTTTGCCCTTTAATTACGATATTCGACATTGTTTTCTGTTAGTTTGCTAGTATTATCTTGAAAATGAAACAGATAAATGTCATTTTTACTAGTGTTTTCAACGATTAACCGGTTAACCGTCGGAAGGACCGAATATCGAATACCAAAAACGCTAACCGGTTAACCGGACCTTTTTCAATTTTAATAGATTTGATATAAATGTGTATTGAAATCATTAATAAATTTTGTTGAATTTTAAAATGATCGTCGTGATAATTAGTATGAGAGACCAATTGTCCAGTATATTGATTGCTATTGTTAACCTTGAAAACATTCTAACCTTACAAAATTAATCAACTCACATAATTAGCATGCATGTATTTTGATTACATTTTACGATTTACTTCATTATTTCATCTTTGATTTAATATTGCCAAGGCTCCGTGTTGAAGCCGTACTTTGACCTATAATGGTTTACTTTTACAAATTGTGACTTGGATGGAGAGTTGTCTCCGATGATTGGCACTCATATCACATCTTCTTATATCTATAGACCTACATGTAAATATGCTACCTCCATCGTCCAAGTTTTTGTCATACTTTAAGGATGTTCGCTCCTCTGTTTCAAAATAACAAACTTTTAAAAAGACTATAATAAATGAAAAGTATATAAATAAAGGTACTTAATAAGCAGAAAAAATGGAAGGTCTGTGTTCTTGTTTTTGAGATGATATAACCAATTGAAAATTTGGCGAGACACCAGAGAAAATGAAACAGTCAACCGCGCGTACGGTTTCAGACATGTCAACTCGACCAGATCAAGAAGATTTTAATCTTCTCAATCTGAAGTTACAAACTTTATGGTAGATACGGTAGAATTGGAATATTTCAAGTAAACTTCACCAGGAACGCTCATAGCCTAGCTTTATAATGCCCAAGAATATTCTTCAATTTGTCATATCATAAAAACGTACATGCGTAGGGTAATATAGATAAAAGGTCTTTAAACATCAACTTACATGTGATAATCGGTCGAAAGATTATCCGAGTAACCGATTAGGCAAAACTGTTCAATTTGACAACACTAAGTTTTACCCATTTTAAGGTGTTTTTGGCTTTTATGATTGTTAATAATTTAAGTCGTAAATAATTTCAATATTAAAGAAAAGAATATGAATTAATTTTACAGATGACGATGCCGATAATCCCTGTCTTGATCTGGATACCGGACTTCTGTTGATCCTAGTTAAATCTCTGACAGGGATAAAGATTCCACCGTGGCGACCATCAGTACTGGACACTTCGGTTGGTGCAGATCTTTACAGAGTTGAATTTTATCTGAATTATATCATTCACAAAAAAGAAGAGAAGATCGACGATGAAGAATTTTATGAAAAACTGAAGGACATAGCTAAAGTTAGTACATTTTAAAGAAAATAAGACCAGTCTTTATATTATCTTTATTTTTAATGTTATGTTGTGTGAAATTAACTAGTTTTTGGCTATTAGAAAATACTGAATACAGTTCGAGAAAGCTGGATTACTTTTTGATTAAACAACACCAGTTTTTGTTCGCAACAAAAAAAAAAACCATCTTCTAAATAAAACATGATAAGTCTAAAATATAATGTATGTGCACCACGCTGAAACGATCGGACGAGGCCTACTTGGTGTCGGGTCTTATTCATAGATCACACACGTCTTTCATACATTACCCAATTAATTTGTATATTAAGCTAACAACGCAGAGAAAATCGTTAGTATTTAAAAGTTTATTTAATAAAAAGTTTTTGTACAACCTGTTATATTGGGAGTACATTTACCAAAGCTAACAACGAAGAGGTAGTATGGGAGTAATCCGCCCTATCGAATCGTAAAATATCAGCGACTCTTTTCACAGAAAAACTTACGATTAAAATTGATCGTAAGTTGTACTGAAATGTGTATGACTTACGAGTATTTTTACTCTTTAAGATTTTTTGTGAAAAGAGCCACTGAACACAAAAGGTCTAGAATTTCAATGAAATAAACAAACCATAAACTAGGAATTTAATCCAATATTAACTATTACTTTCTTTATTTAAATGAAAAAAGTTGGGTGATTTTATCTGATTCACGATCAACCCAAAAAACGTTTAAGCTTAGCATTATAAGAGGAGGTGACTTAGATGATTTAATTTTATGAAGGAATGTACAGTGAATTTGTCTTTTAGAGTAAGAACAAAGTAAGGTGACATTTTTTTTTTTGTAAAAGCATTTTATATATAAGAGATATATGCAAGTTCTAATTTTGGTTTGGGGAATATTGGGTTATTTAATGTGTTTTTCCTAAAGACAAACAATTGTAAATTACTTAGATGTTTTTGCATGAAATCTTATAGAGGAAAACCATTTGTAATCGACCAATATAACTTTTTATGGTTTTTAACCTTGTTTTTTTTTAACCTCCTCGTTTTAACAGTTAGATTTAAAGTTTTATTTTTTTTACATGTTATAAAATAAACGCGGGAAAACGATGATTAATTGCGGCAATGCTGCAAATATTGTTCTAACCCGCAACGTGTATAGATGTGAATGTTTCTACTAACCGGAACCTTGTAAGAAGTTGTCTTTAAATTCATTTTTGGTTTGTTTTGGGAGTTTTCCATTACATTTGAAATTCATTGTTGATTGCAGAACTCTATGTTGAAGTAATTAATTCATGGGTTTTAGAGCTTGGCGCTGTGTTAGAGGAATCTGACTATTTCTTTATACCTTTAACCCTCTAGGTGTTTATCTGATTTTGTTGTTCTAGGGTTGATGTCTCATTGATGTAGTGATACTCCCATCATATATTTTTCATTCTAAATGAGATAGAATGTTTGATATATATATAAAAGATATTCATGATATAATTTTTCGTTTTGATTTCTACAGTCTATTGAACGACTTGGAGGATGCACAATTTCTGAAGAACACAACAAGGTTCACGGTTACCTTGACAACGATGAAATCAATCAAGTGATTCATTTAATACAGCAACAGAAAGATATCAATTCTTCAGAAGACCCTATACCCAAAGATCGTAGAGGTATGTAGGTTATATTTAACTTTTTAGTATGTGGAAATAACAAATATTAAACCACTTACTAAGTACTCAAATATTTTGATTGGTTGATTTCAGAGACTAAGTACGATATCGTACTCGAAAAGATTTATGATTATAAGCCTGGGAATCATATTTGGTTAGCAGATTGACAGTAATGAGTTGTGCTTTTTGGATATTAGAATGTCAGACACCATCTTCCTGTTCTAGATTACTATGAATTACGAGTAGGGTTATGTTTAGCACAAAATGCGTGCAACTTCTTTATAAAGACAAGATATGTAGTATGATTGCCAACGAGACAACACTCCACCAGAGACAAAAGGACGAAGAAGTTGGCAACTATAGGTCACCGTATGGCCTTCAACATTGAGCAAAACCCATACCGCATAGTAAGCTACAAAAACCCCGAAGTGACAAATGTACAACAATTCAAACGAGAAACTAAAGGCCTGCTGTATGTACAATACAATAAACGAAGAACAAATATGATATACAGCAACAAACGATAACAACTGAATTACAGGCTCCTGGCTTGGGACAGGCACATACAGAATGTCTAACCTAGGACAGTGGTGTAACAGCACAACACAAGAACATCAGTTGAAAAAGACTTGACTCATCAGATCGACACAAAGCACATTTTTTTTTTATAAAAACACAAAAGACACACAGTACAGATATGAGAGTACTCGCAATTACCGAAAGCTAGTTCAAAGCCAATCACACTAATACAAAAATCAGGTTTTCTTGTAGTATAATGGTTATCTAGAAATGCACACTGCAGAAAAAAACAACAACATATAATATGTGGACTATTACGAAAATTTTGAAACCATTGGGGTACATAAAACACATCTCCTTTTGAACTTTAATCATTGATTTTTTTTCAGAATCTATTGATAGAAAGGTAAAGAGGTGGAGAAAGCAAGACCAACATTTTGTTACGACACTAGCATCACAAATGGCCATGGAAAAAATCAAAGAGAACGCATGCGTTGTTCTTACTGGAGAGTCTGGCAATGGCAAGACAATAACATCGCGACATCTTTTATTACAGTTAAACCAGGATGAAGGGTTTGAAATAGTTGTAATCAAAAGATCAGCAGAACTTGTAAAATTAAGACGACGATTTAAGAAGCAAGTGTTTATAATTGATAATTTTTGTGGAAGGTTTTCTGCCGACCAAAAATGCATAGCAGAATGGGCAATACATATGGACCTTTTTGAAGACATTTTTAAAAGTTCCCAGGACCTTCGATTTATCATTACTTGCAGAAAACAAGTTTATAACTCAAAGCAGTTTTCGAAAATATTTAGAAATACCAAAATGTTTGAATGTAAATTGTTATCGAAGAGCTTTACTCTTAGTAAGAAGGAGAAACGTACAATAGCGTCGAAATATATTGGAGAAGATAATATGAGAAGGTTGGACGAAGATATTGTAGATGATATTGAGAGTTTTTTCCTTTTCTGTCAACTTCGTAGTAATGCAAGTGTGAGAAATCAAGTAGATTTCTTTAAAGAACCAATTAGACTTTTGAATACAGAACTGCAAAATATGTGTGATACAGATGAATGGGCATTTTTCATTCTAACACTTTTAGTTGTTTTCGACAACAAGTTGGACACACGTTTATTTCATGGTAAAATAAGAAAATCACAACAAGATGCAATAGACGAGGTGTGTTCAGATTGTGGATTACTTAATCATCCTACCATGCTTTTCATATCATTTAGAATTAAAGCCCTGCTAGACACATTTATAGAGGAACGTTATAAATACATCAGAGCAATTCATGATAAAATATTTGATGTCACAAGTCTTTTTGTTGCTAAAAACAAAAATGCACTTCGATCAGTATTGAAACATGGGAGTAGTAAATACATTAGCGAGCGGGTTCAGTTTCAGTCCTTGAGTGAAGAGTGTAAGGAATACACAATATTGATTCCTCCAGAATTGGAACATGTCTACTTTAGGCGACTTGTAAAAGACATTGAAGACCAAAAATGGTGGGAAGTATTTTCAGCTTCACAGACAGCATTTGAAATATTTCGCATACAGTTTCTGAATTTTCTTGAAAAATACGAGGGACTGGATTCCTTGTTTGGAGATAAAGTTATGCCATTATACGTTTCTTCATTCATGGGATATAAAGACTTCGTAGAATTTTTCCAAAAACGTGAAAAATGTCTTGCAATAAAAGCAGTTGATGAGAGTGGATTTACCTCTATTCACGCTTCATGTATGATGGGCCACAAATCGGTTGTAGAATTACTTCTTGATGAAACGAATGTAGACATTACTACAAAAGACAAAGCAACTCCAATTTACCTGGCATCAAGCATGGGACATGCAGGTATTATCAAGATTCTTTTGAGTGCTAAAGCAAATATTGAAAATACAAAATTGGATGGAACAACTCCGTTAATTGTAGCATGTAAAAATGGTCACATATCTGTTGTCGAATTATTGCTAGGTCAAAAAGCAGATGTCAACAAAAGTAAAACGGATGGAACATCTCCACTCATTATTGCATCACAAGAGAACAACAAAGATATCGTTAAAGTTCTTCTTGAAAATAAGGCCGATATCACCCAAAAGACAAAAGCAGGTGTAACAGCATTGTATATAGCGTGTGAACTTGGTCATATTGCTATAGTTGATTTATTACTGAAAGCAGATGATAACATTTTGAAGGGAGATGATTCAGGATTCAAACTGCTTTACGTTGCATGTAAAAACGGAAATAACAAAGTTGTTGAAACGTTAGCAAACACCGACATTGAACTTAACAGAACAAACGAGTCGGGAATTACACCTCTTTATATTGCAAGCCAAGAGGGTCATGCAGATGTTGTCGAAATTCTACTTAAAAATGGCGCGGAGTCGAATTACGCAAATCATGGTGGGTATACGCCGCTTTACATCGCTTGTTTACAAGGTCACACAACAGTCTTAAAATTGCTAATGCAAAAATGTGCAGATATAAATGCTGTATTTTATAAAGGGGCAACGGCCCTATATATTGCGAGCCAGGAAGGCAATCTTGAAATGGCAAAATCGTTGATCGAAAATGAAGCTGATGTTAATAAAAGTGACGAAACTGGTACCACACCACTGTATATCGCCTGTCAAAACGGTCATAAATCAGTTGCTGAAATGCTACTTGACAACAAGGCAAATATAAATCAGTGTACAGACGTAGGTGCCTCGCCACTTTATATTGCTTGTCAGAAGAACCAAGTAAAAGTTGCTGATATGTTGATGAAGAAGAATGCAGAAGTCAATCTACATACCATCAACACAGCTACTCCTCTTCATATAGCATGCGAACATGGATTTGCTGAATTAGCTGCCATTCTTTTAGCTAATGGCGCAAAAGTTGATCAGACTACTCGAGATGGAGTAACACCTTTATTCGTTGCAAGTCAAAATGGTCATGCATCCGTAGCAGAATTATTGTTGATAAATAATGCAGATGCGAATATCAGTTTTAAAACAGGTGCAACTCCTCTGTATATGTCGTGTGAGAAAAATAGATATGATACTGCTAAAGTATTACTAGATTTTAAAGCCAATGTCAACCAGAGTAACAAGGGTGGTTTTACGCCATTATTTATAGCATCTCAGAAGGCCAACTTTTCTATCGTGGAACTCCTTTTAAAACACAACGCTAATGTAAACAAAACATCACAAAATAGTTTCACTCCACTCTGTGTTTGTTGTGAAAAAGGTAACAAACCAACAGCAGAGCTATTACTTAATCATGGAGCTGATCTCAATCAAAGTACCACAGACGGAAGAACGCCACTTTACATCGCTATTCAGAATGGACATATGGATTTAGCTAATGTATTGCAAAAAAGACAAGCCATTGAAGACACAAAAAAAGATGCACTCATGCCTCCTTTATGTCTTGCTAGTAAGAAAGGTGATATCGGTGTTGCAACTATCTTGCTTAAGAATAACATAGATATAAATGAAACATCACCAGGAGGAGAAACTGCTATCCACATCGCTTGCAAGGAAAATAATGAACAGTTTGTACGACTTCTTCTAGAAAACAAAGCAAACACAGAGGTTTGTGACAGTTATGGTCAAACTCCTTTGTTGATTGCCACAAAAAATGAAAACATCCACATAATTAAGCTTCTTTTGGAACAAGAAGCTGGGGTAAGTTCTACCAAAAAAGAAGATGAAACTGCACCATTACATATTGCATGCCAAAAGAAGAACGCAGAAATTACGAAACTACTTCTAGAGCATAAGGCAAACGTAAACCAAATGGATGAGGAACTCGTCTCGCCCCTTCACATTGCATGTAAAAATGAAGATCTGAAAATAGCCGATTTATTACTACAGTATAAAGCTGTTGTAAGTTCATCTGAAAATTTTGGGAACGCACCATTAATGATTGCATGCGAAACCCAAAATCTCAATTTAGTGCGTATGTTGTTGGAAAATGACGCTGATGCGAATTTATGCGGAGAAAGTGGGTTAACACCTTTACATATGGCCTGTCAAATGAGGAATGTGAAGTTAGCAGAACTATTACTTAATAATAAAGGAAATCCAAACAAAAAATACGAAGGGTATACACCCCTCATGATTGCATGTGATACAGGAATGACAGACTTACTAGAGTTGTTGCTGAAAAATAACGCTGACGTGGACGAATTAACGCCTTCTGGACTTACGTCACTGCAGTTTGCATGTCAAAAAGATCACGAGCTCATTGCTAAAAAACTTATAAGTCATGGCGCAGATGTTAACAAAGAAGTACCAGATGGATATACTCCATTATTTATAGCATGCAGTAAAGGAAATGAAAAAATGGTCGGATTTTTATTACAAAATGGAGCTGATGTTGACAGACAAAGCAAACAAGAATTTACGCCTTTACATATTGCTTGCGGAAAAGGGTATACAAATATAATAAAGATGTTACTTAAATATAATTCTGACGTTAGTTTAAGTACACAAGATGGATGTACTCCTCTTTACATAGCATGCCAGGAAGGACAAAAAGAAATTGTAGAGTTGCTTATTCACAGTAGTGCAGATGTTAATATGAGTACAGAATCGAAAGTTACACCATTGTACATTGCTTGTGATTTCGGACATACCTCAATAGTAGAACTGCTACTCAAAAACAACGCCGATAGCACCATATGCAGAGAAGGCGGTTTTTCTCCGTTGTATATAGCTTGTGAAAAGGGACATCTAAATATTGTGCAATTACTATTAGAATATGAAGCACAAGTTAATCAGACTCAGAACGAAGGTGCAACGCCCTTGTATATCGCTTACGAAGAGAAGCATTTCAACATTGTTAGATTATTGATGAAATACGGCGCTGATCCTACCATTTGTACGCAAAGTGGGTTATCTCCGATGTACAATGTTTTTGAGACGGGTAATTCAAAAGTGGCTGAACTATTTTTGGAACATAAAGTGAATCCGAATGGTAGTTTTCAAAATGGGTCAACACCATTGTCAATTGCCTGTGAAAAGGGTTATCGCGAACTTGTTGAATTATTACTACGGTATGCAGTAGACGTTACCCAAACAACAGAGGACGGTCTCACGCCGTTATATATTGCTTGTGAGAATTACCAAACTGATATTGTAAATCTTTTGTTAGAAAACAAGGCAGATCCAGACCAAAGAACTAATGAAGGATTTTCAGTTTTGTATTTGGCAGCACAGCAAGGAAATTGGGATATAGTTGAAGTTTTACTAAATTTTGAAGCAGACACAAATCGGAAAACGAAACGTGGATCAACGCCTTTACATATTGCATGTGTAAAGAACAATTTGGCTATTGGAGCATTGCTTATAGAAAATGGCGCAGATGTAAATTTAGGAACAGACGAAGGGGGGACTCCTTTATATCTCGCATGTCAGGAAAACCATATTGCTGTTGCTAATTTGCTTATTCGACATAACGCTATCATTAACCAAGCTACAAACGCAGGCGCGACGCCTCTTTACAAGGCATGCGAGAAAGGGCATCAACAAATCGTGAGCCTTCTGATAAAAAATGAGGCTGACGTCGACAAATGTAAAGAAGATGGGTTCTCTCCCCTTTACACGGCATGCGAAATGGGCCACATAGAGATCGTTAGTGTCCTTCTTAAACACAGAGCCAAAGTGAATAAAGTTACATCTGGTGGTTTTTCACCACTGCATGTTGCATGTAAAGAAAATCACGAGAAAATAGTAGAGAAACTGATCAACCAATATGCATTCACTAACATCAGCGACAACAATGGTCTTTCGCCTCTTCATGTTGCTTGCTCAAATGGTTACATCCCTGTCGTAAAATTCCTTCTCGGTCGTAATGCTGAGGTGAATCAGAAAACAAAGGATGGAAAATCGCCTTTACATGTTGCTGTAGATAAAGGATTTTTAGAGGTAGCCCAGATGTTGTTGAAACATCATGCATCTGTCGATATAGAGGATACAAGTGGATCGACGCCGCTCTATACGGCTTGTGAAAAAGGTCATTTCAACATAGTAAAATTACTGATAAAACGAAACGCAAACGTTAACCATGTTAATAGACTGAACGCAACCCCGTTGTTTATTGCATGTGCGGAAGGTCATAGGAAAGTAGTTGATATGTTACTAAGAAATGATGCAGATGTTAACATGACAACAAAAAAAGGACATACTCCTTTTTCAGTCGCAATGTTAAATGGCTATGACGATATTACGGAAATACTTACCAATACTGGTAACCTCAAAACAAGAGCGAAACATAACAATGACGGTCGTGGTATTGCACACACACAGTTGCAAGATAACGAATTAATGGCAAGATTGGCGACAATTTATTCTATTGATGAATCTGAACCAATACAAGATGAGTTCGAGATAAGTGAAAACTTCAAGCACAACACTCATCCATATAGCGAAAATGACATGGGCAAATATGAATGTCGGGAAACAATTTCTGAACGGTCAGAAGCATTAACTGAACGTAGTAAAGAAACAAATATAATACCAGAACTAATAAAAACTGAAAGATCCTCTAAAAGTATAAAAACTAATAAAGCTGTTAATGACAGAGATGATTTTCAGTCTCCTACTCCGGACCAAAAGAAGAAATTTAAAAGCGTAGTAGAACGCGAAGTATTAAAGAAAAGCCCGGCATGTGTTGTTCTGTAAGCCTAATAAAGCTGATTTGAAAACAGTTCGTATTAAAATTGTAAAAACCATGGAACAAATCTATTTTTGGAACAAAACTATTTTTCAAATTTGAAAGGAAAATGATGCGCATGGCAATCGTTTCAACATTTTTATAAGTGGTAGAAAAAAGTCGGTATACTACTACTAGTGTTATATTTCCTTTTTTTATAAATTTGAACAGTTAAATGTTCACCTCGACTCTCAGGTAGTTTACAGTACCTGGCCATGATCCAGTCCCCGTAACAAAATCAACCCGTATATATGTGTTTGAGCTTTTGATTTTGCCATTTGATAAGGGACTTTCCGTTTTGAATTTTCCCAGGAATTCGGTAATTTTGTTATTTTACTTTTTTCATATAAAATCACATTTTCATTAAAAAGTATATTGTGAACTTATATTCTTGTCGGATTTTGACATCCTAATTTATATATAACTGCAGTGTTTCATCATATTCTTATAATTTACTATTTTTAGAGAAATCACAAATTAAACATGATTTTTTTACGCTATAGTTCTTCATGCATATTTTGAACATTACGACATTAACCATTAAAACTTGCTCCCAAATCATAAACTCTCTTCTTATTATCACAAAACAGTTTGAAAATATGCGGACATTGTCGTTTGTTTATGTGTTACATATTTGTACATTTTTTGTACATAAATTAGGCCGTTAGTTTTCTCGTTTGAATTGTTTTACATTGTCATTTCGGGGCCTTTTATAGCTGACTGTGCGGCATTGGCTTTGCTCATTGTTGAAGGCCGTACGGTGACCTATAGTTGTTAATTTCTGTGTCATTTGGTCTCTTGTGGAGAGTTGTCTCATTTGCAATCATACCAAATCTTCTTTTTTATATATCTGAATTTATTTGTTAACTTCGTGTGAAATAAATTTTATACATTGCTGTACTTTAGGGAACTTTTGTTTTGTGAATCAGAATTGGAATTAATCTATGATAAATCGAACCAAAATGAATCATATTTCATAGCCAGAAATAATGTGTCAACTAAATGTTATATTTTCTTTGGAAATTAGTCACTAAACTACATATTATATTCTACCTGAAATTTGATATAATATTTTTTTGCTTCAGTCAACAATTTGTAGGGAACCTTGCTTTGTTTGTGTATCACTGATTAAATAAATCAGTATGTCTCTATGTCCTGAAGCTGGAGCGAACAGTGTAGTTTAACTGTCAAATATTTACTTTTGATTATCGAGGGAATAGTTGGGAACTGCGGGTTTCCATTTTATTTCAGGTATTTTACTTGACCTGTGAAAGAAGGGGGACGAAACAAACATTGATATCTGCAGCAACTCTCTATCTTTAAGTTGTATCACACTTTATGTTTGACTAACAACTAACTATAAATCACAGATGGCATCTCAGAACTCGAATTGTTTGAAGATTGATCGATTGCTTATCTACACTTAACATTCAATGACAAATACTTTTGTATATTCAGGACGAGATGTTAACAAGTCTAAATTGAAAACAACGTTCAAACCTATGATTGCGTTGGATAAAAACCGCAATTTTTATACGTGTGCATGCAAAACAAATTTCTTGGTAGAGAGGTCTAAATACAGCACAAACAACATTTTCCAAAAGACCAAAATGAGTGAAAAAGTATATTTTAACAAAACGCATTTGACTAGCAGGTCGAACAACTGATGTTCTTAAACCCTGCTGACTGCCATTGGCGATTGCCAAATAAACGGATCACAAGATGTAACAAAATAGATCTTATTATTTATTAATTACCAAACAGAAAACAATAAACTTGCAGAAAAGATGGTATACCGCAAACATGAGGTGCAAAAATTTGTACACCATATCCGGATTTCGACAATTAATGTCTCTTCAGAAATGTCAGGAATCGAAACGGTATTTGGAAGGCCATATAATTTAGCTCAATTTAGGATAGACTCTTGAATTTTGAAAGAGTCAAAATAGGATGAACGGATCATATAAAGCCGAAGGCAAGTATAATACAATCCCAAACGAAAAAATATAAACAAGTCTAAATTGAAAACAACGTCCAAGCCTATGATTGCGTTGGATAAAAACCGCAATATTTATACGTGTGCATGCAAAACAAGTTTCTTGGTAGAGGGGTCTAAATACAGCACAAACAACATTTTCAAAAAGATCAAAATGAGTGAAAAAGTATATTTTAACAAAACGCATTTGACTAGCAGGTCGAAGATGTTATATATATATAGCACGCCTTTTACGAATTAACGTATTTAATTCACGAAAAGCGTAGCTTTGAGTGGATAAAATATGTTAATGAGTAAGGCGTGGCTATATATGAATTGTAACATTAATGGGCTATGACACACGTCAAAGATTAAATGCTGACCAATAAAACTTTACTGTACTTTTCAATATGTCAATCAAATAGTGGCGTGATACTATATCTGATTTCCAGAAAAATAACACATGCAGCAGATGTCAGTTGGATTTGTATGTCAGATACAGGTACATTTAAATGAATTGTTGCCGTAGGATTCATTCTCGATAGCCATTTACGTGGTATTGAATATTTTTTCACCCCAAAAACTCTTAAAAAAAGGGGGGGGGGGTGATGCAAATTGTATTCGATGTTTATCTGACCAACTCGAAAATGACATGCAGTTTCAAAGGAGTTTTATCGTTGTGATAAGAAGGAAACATTTTCTAATACCAATTATGAAGGTAATTAAAACTATTCTTCCATTCCCAAGAACTGGAAAAAGATCGGTTTATTGATTGCAATGGTTGCATGTTGAATACGTGTAAGATCCAGTGACAAATATTTGAAGCATGATCAATTCACCATAGATGTATATACATCTATGAATTAACGGAGACAGGCCTTTACAGAATGAAGAAAATTACTAAACATCCAGTGACGTATATTTTTTAGAATATTATTAATTTCGACACGATATCAACAGGTATCCAACCAAAATAACAGTAGGAAAATTCACAGTCATTTCTATTACATTTTGTTTTATTCTTGAAATTAAACGACTTTATTATACCTCATTTATCATTTTCCATATAAAATAAGTACACAATATTTTGACTATTTTTTTAATTGCAAGCGTTGAACTATTTGACCGGTCAATAGTATCCAACTATTGGACCTCGATGAAACTATTTGACCGCAAGCGTCATTATATTTCCCGGAATTTCAAATCCAGCTACGGGATTGGAGGATGTTGAGAATACTGCGGGAGTTGCGACGTCGCGTTTTACCTATTGTATATATGGTTGACGTCAGTGCAGGACGTAGCCTTAGCATTCAGAATATATATAAAGTAAACGTTAAACAGTATGGCTGAAAATTTGTGTAAACGCATGCGGAAGAATATATCGAGACCGTTTTGCAATAAAAGCGGGAATCTTGATCTGAAATTGAATGAGTACGTTGCAGGGCCAGTTTATGGCATCAATGGCAACGGGAGAGAGGCGCTGGAAAATTAGTCCAACGTTGTGAGAGCAACCGAAGTCTTAAAGCTCTCAATTGTCTTGGCACAGACGAGATTGTCTGGTAGTCTATTCCAATAGGATATTGTTCGTACAAAGAATGACTGTTTGTATTGATCGGATTTGCAAGGTGGATTTTTGAAGCATTGGCTGTTGTTTTGAGCAAATTTATCTACAATGTTTGTTGTTTTGAGCAAATTTATCGACAATGTTTGTTGTTTTAAAGTTACTAAATTGTTTTGATTTTATTTGTCGTTTTGGTCTCTCCCTGACTAATACTGATGCTTGTGGTATAGCTGGTACCAACTCCTCGGCCACCTTGTAGAGAAAAGTGAGTCTACTGTGACGACGTCTGTTTTCCAGTGTCGGACGTTTTAGTTCATTCATTAGTCTCCTTATACTACCTTCCTCTCTGCTTGTATAATCCCCTCTGATGAAACGCACTGCTTGTCTCTGTACTCGTTCAAGTGCATTAATGTCCTTGATTAAGTAAGGGTCCCATACTATGGACGCGTATTCTAGAAGTGACCGGATAAGTCCTATGTACGCCTGTTTCCTATAATCCTTTGGACAGTGGCGGAGGTTTCGTCGCAAGAAGCCTAGAGTGAAGTTGGCCTTCTTCACGGTTTTAGCGATGTGGACGCCCCATCTCAGATCTTCTGAGATAATAACACCGAGATACGGATTTTGTTGTACCTGTTGCAGGATGTGATTGTCTAGTTTATAAAAATGAGATGATTTGTTGTTGACAACAATTTTTGGCATTAAATCTCATACCCCATTTTGTGGCCCATTTTTCCAACGATACAAGGTCGTTTTGTAGTAGTTGATGGTCCTGTTGTGTTTGGACTTTCCTGTATAGGCAATCGTCGGTGAATAATCTGAGATTTAACAGTTTCAGGTAAGTCATTAATGTGACACAGGAACAGCAACGGTCCCAATACCGTGCCTTGAGGAACTCCTGATGCTACACCTACAGAGTTAGAATTTTCGCCATCTACCAGGACTCTCATAGATCGTTTTGTAAGGAACACGTTGAGCCAATCTAGTATTGGACCATCAATACCATAACTTTCGAGTTTGGATAACAGCCTTTTGTGCGGGACCGTATCGAAGGCTTTAGAGAAATCAAGTATTACAATATCTGTATGCAGGCCTTTGTCATGAAGTTGGAATAAGTCGTTCATAGTTGTTAAAAGCTGGGTTTCACAGGAGAAACCTGAACGGAAGCCATGCTGGAGTGGTGTGAGTATATTGTTCCTTTCTAGGTGTTTCAGGATGTGTTTACATATGATATGCAGGAAACGCAGGTAAGAGAAACAGGTCTATAGTTCTCTGGTGTGTTTATATTTCCTTTCTTAAATATGTTTGCATTTAACCAATTAGTAGGTAGGGTGCCAGAGTTTATGGATTGCTGGAAGATGTGTCTCAGCCCAGGTGCTAGTTGTTTAGAGCAGTTTTTTCAGGACAATGTTTGGTAAGTTGTCTGGCCCAATGGCTTTAAATGGCTTTATGTTCTTCAAGAGTTTTTCGACTCCCTCTGTTGTTATTGTCAGTGGTGGTATTGATTCGTCAACTTTCTTACCAATGTTTGGTGTTGCATTTAGCGTGTCTTTTGTAAAAACCGATTCAAATTGGTTTAAAAGTATATTAGCTTTCTCCTTGTTGTCGTTTACAAGTGCTCCATTCTGTTTCATTGTTGGAATACCAATGTTTTCCTGTCGTCTGGATTTAACATAACGCCAGAATGGTTTTGTGTTGTTTTCTTGTAAACCTTGATAAATAGTGTTGTTGATATAGTTGATCTCTGCTTTCTTAGACTCTTTTTTGCACCTTTTTGGAAACTTTTGTAATCGTTCCACAGTTTAGATTTCTTAACGTGCTTATAGAGTCTTATTTTGCGTTTTAACATCCGGCTTAGATTTCTGTTGAGCCACGGCAGCAATTTTCTGGATGAGCATACCTTTGACGGGGTGTATTTGTCAATAATTGTGAATACAGCGGTGGTGAAGGTTGACCATAGTT